TTAATAGTTAATATAAATAGGAATTATTATATAGTTTCGGTTACATGATTTCCTATATACTGAATGTGCGTGGTGTGCAAATTAACTTAGAAAGTACGTATAAGTTGTATGAAACAGCGCCGCAACCTCCAGGCCAACACAATATTTTAGCTCACGTAAATTAAGTCAGCTCTAAAAGCTCTGAAAACTAGAAAAGTCATCAGGTGTATATACATAGCTATTCTTAAAAAAGGTACAATACAATCGCACCCAGGATATAATGTCATTTTATTTGTTGTCATAGCTTTGTTCTCGAATAGAAAACCTCAACTATTTTAAATTATTGACTAAGATTTCGGCTGGCTTTTAAGAATTTCTCATAGTTTCAATTATTTACAGTTTGGGCCTAAGCATGTATGAAATCTTACGAAAAATGATTTAGATGTCGATTAGATGATATCAAGGTAGAATGTGTAAAATAAAATTTCCTAAATCATAAAATCAGTCTACTTACTGAACAAAACATAACGAACACATAAAAAATTATATAAAACTGAAATACGAATAAAATACCTCACTTAAAACCTATTTCATAATTAGTCGTAATAAATAAAATTATTTTAGTTATAATGTGTATAATTTGATAATAATCCTTTGTATCATAGTAATTATCGACATTGTTTACAAATTGACACTTCTCTATATCGATTCGAGGAAATGACGTTTTGATTTGATACTCGGGACTCTCGTTGTGAACGTAATACATTGCGCGATCGTTTATGTAGTGCAAAATGGTACGTATCTATTGCAAGCAATGTATACTGCTTGCGATAATGTCGTTTTTGTCAAGAAACGTCATAATATTAATGTTATAATTACAAATATCACAAGTATATTAATGTTTTTGGAGTCACTGGTGGAAAGAAATCCCTTCTCGTGCTACATTGCACACCTGTCTTCTTTCCCGACACATTACAATAGTCCAAGACGGCTTAATTTAATATTATTTGCGGAGTTTCGTACGCTGTCATAACAACATTGCGTTTGATGGCCGGTTTTTGACATTTTGGTAGATTTGGAGTATTTGGTCATAACCGCGGCACGCGTGTACCGCCCACAAGGCCGTTCTATCCTCCTTTATATGTTCTGTGCATGAATAGGTCATCGGCATTTATATTTACATAATTACGAAGTGTACACTGAACAGTATGGAGACTACAAGCTCAAATACTCAATTTAGTGATATCTTTCTAGACTTTCTAACTACGTTCTTTGGTCATTGACTGCCTCGTTGGCCGAGTGGTCGCAAGTGCGACTGCCGGGCAAGGGGTCTCGGGTTCGCTTCCCGGGTAGGGCAAAGTTTTACTGGGTTTTAAAAAAAAATTCAGTAGTAGCACGGAGTCTGGAATTGTGTCCGGTATATTGCACTCTGTATTACATGGGACTCATAACATAAATAGTGGAAAGTGGGTGTTATATTGTACAGTGGCATAATGTGCACCTCTGCCTACCCCTTCGGGGATAAAAGGCGTGATGTTATGTTATGTGTTCTTTGATCAAGCAAAGTTATTACTGGATTTTATAACTTTACGAGTCAAACTCAAACTTTTATAGCATTTCATAATGTTATTCCTACATAGGTTTAGTACCTAGTGTTTCTATGTATATTTCAATCATTAAGGACCCTATCGGACATAAGTACCTACTGAATTAAACACAACGGTTGGCAATTGTATAGTTGTAGACTGTATTGGAAAGTTAACGCCTTACTTAGGAATAGCTCAGTATCTACTAGGAGATCATACTACTAAGGTACCTAAAATATAATATATTTCCCAATGTGACCTTCATTTTGATTATTCCAAAGCAGCAGGAAGTATGCAGCAAATATAGATATGTATCTGTAGCAGAGTACGACGGCACGAGAGGATTGCAGAGTCAGCAGCACGCCCGATCGATAGGCACGCATCTCCGACTGCCTATGGAATAGCTTTTTGTTCTACCAGCTTTTTATTATTGATGATATCCTGGTACTTTTTTTAAAAATTCATGTTACCTGTAGACACCATGTGTAAATGATATTTTTAAACGAATTTAACTCGTCGAGTACCGTAGTTATAGACACAATTAAAGAACAATAGGTTGCGGTCACCGGTGACCGCTTGGTGTTTGACAGTTTAAAAATACGAGTAAGTTATCGAATTCTGTTGTGTATTAGAGATTTGAGAAGTGCAACTGTTAAAATATTGAGGAAAATAAAAAAGATATCTTAAGGTGCTCCCACACAGTAGTTGTATTTGTCGCGGAGAACCTAACGGGTAACCGGGGCTCCGGCTCGACGTGCAGGAGAAGGAACGGGGTGGTTTTTAGTCAGTAAGAGAATGACACTCCCTTCCACCTCACCCAGGCGGGAGCAGACATTCGATGATTTTCCCCCCTTAAAAAAAAACACAGTAGTTGTATAACGTTACATCACATTGTGTAACATGATAACATTTTGTAACATACTCTACAACATGTCAAGTTCCTATCTACTACAAATTTGAATGTTAACTCAGTCTCTAACGTTAAGTAGAAATACCTACATATAAAAAGGAGGATCCTCCGACCAGGCGAGGTGATCGTGCCTGGCGGGCTTTCTGCCCAACAGTTGTTCGTTGGGATTTTCTATCCGTGTTTATTTGCTTGTAAACTTTGCATGTGCGATGTAGGATTCTTGTGACGTCATCCGTTGACATGTGACATGTGTCGCCACATCACTCCCTCCCAAGACCGGAGGTCGATCCCGCTGAGACGGCTGTCGATGCTTGAGATGAGTGGCGCCAGAGCCAGTGTAGAACGTCCCTAGTTCCAGTGGGTCGGAACCGTGCCGCTGAGTGCCCAGTGAGTCGGGTCAGCGGTGCAGGGTGAAACTCCAGTGAGTCGGAGAGATGAGTTCGCAGTGTCCCACGGTGAGTCGGGGAAGAGATGCTGCGAGGGTAGGTGCGTAGTGGCCGGCATCTGCGTTGACGGGAGGAGGTGTCCTTCAGACCGTGTGCAGAAGTGCTGTGCCTAGACGCTGGTGAGGCCGTAGGGAAGAACCAGGCTGCACAACTTCGTTGCAGGTAATGGTGGTCCCTGATGAGGCCGAGGATGCTGGTTGGCTGCGACTTGGTTACCGCTCAGCGGAGAAGTGATGAATGAGAGGGATGGCGATACGGATGACGGTGCTAATCAGCTCCGTGAAGTGAAGGTTGTTTCCAATCACGTCGGGGTCACCACTTTAGGGAACAGAGAGTATAGTTCCCTAAGATCGGAAAAGGAGGATCCTCCGACCAGGCGAGGTGATCGTGCCTGGCGGGCTTTCTGCCCAACAGTTGTTCGTTGGGATTTTCTATCCGTGTTTATTTGCTTGTAAACTTTGCATGTGCGATGTAGGATTCTTGTGACGTCATCCGTTGACATGTGACATGTGTCGCCACACGTTAAAGTTGCTGTGTTGATTTTAATAGAAGCCAATACTCACTTAGACACTTGGTGCATTCAGGTTGTTATCTAGGTACTACTTGCTACCCAATACCCTGCCTACCTTGATGTCTACCTATATTAGCAGGGGATAGGTCCTCAGGTACCTACCGACCTATTTACTTACTTAGTGTTTCTTCTTAGTAGTAGGTTAAAGTAAGTACTTCTCATAGTCTCAATTTAAGATCAGTTAGCTACTTAAACTGTCAAACACCAAGCGGTCACCGGTGACAGCGACCTATTGTTCTTTAATTGTGTCTATAAAACCGGTACTCGACGAGTTAAAACAGAAATTATTTTCGAGATGCCTTGCAAACTGAGGTTTTTCTCTAACTAGTATTACCTAAATGAGTGGAGAAAAATGTTATTAACCAATGTGTTTGAAAAAGAAAAGAAAGGGTAATGTATTTATTTGTAAGATTAAAACTCTTTCAATGTTTCAAAAAAGGCCGGGAAATCACCTTGAACCATCACAAGTTACCAGACAGAAATAAAGTTGGGTTTGAGTAAGATTTCAATTTAATACTGAAAAATGTTACAGAAATTACCACTAACTTGGATACTTCATACGCATAAATAAATGATTTATATAATGTTTGTATATTTTTTAAAGTACCAATGTCTGAATAGTGGTCTGGTCACTCCAGTTTTAAAAGTGTTGCTATATAATTAACGAATTAAGTAGAAAAATCTACGTTTCATGAAGTTATTTTATTAATTTATAAACGTCAAATTAATATTCCTCACACCAATATAAACTATCTTGTTCATATTTAAGAAGTTTTCATATCACTTACTCTATGAATGAAACAAAAGGGAAACCGACAGACACAATTAGTGTATTTTCGTTTCTGTGTTCCGAGCAACTATCGACGGGTGGTAATTTAAGTACTACCCGACATAATAGGAGTGAATAGATATTTTATTTAATTTTATAAGTATCAAAATATATGCGCATATATTTTGATCACACCTGCGCAGGTGTGATCAAAATGTTGCTTCTTTTGGGTCTTCTTTTAATCCATCTGAATGTTACTAATTTGTGGGTAGTTTAAAATTAATACTGTTATTAATATTAGTTTGCTGGCTTCTATTCTTATTAGGCTTTTATTCAAATAGTAATGAAACTAACTTCGCATTGTACTTTCTTCATCTTTTTATATTCTTTTTCTTTGGTTTCAGTCTGACAACACCATTTTCTACGTCAAATGTCAAAATACTGTGATGGATCTGTGAATTGTTTGTTTGTAAGAAAAACTCGTTAGAAAGTATTTCCCAGCCACTAAAAACCAGGATTATATGCAAATAACATACAATAGTGATATCTTTATTAATCCATATCAAAAGTTTTTCATGCCTCTGTGGCATTATTCATCTAAGTGGTTAGCCTTGAAGTAGATGTCACCTATTAACTTATATGAGTGTTGTTTATTCTACATTTTAGCTATATTAGTCGCAAATTTAAGATTATATGGCTTTGATATTTGACTTATGTCTTACGGCGATCCGGAAGAGGCATGTTTTATCTAAGTGTGCGGGAGAAAGGTGCTGGTTTAGTTGTGATCAGCTGGATTTGCCTGGCTGTACTGTGCGCCGCATCTACGGCGCCTTGTGACAAGACTCGGAGGGTGTTCACGGATCAAAGCGGCATTATCACCGATGGACCAACTAACTCTAACTACACACAAGTCAGTTACATGATCTACAAATATATGAAGTAGCAGTGAGTGAAGTGCTAATAAGAATTCTGTTCTAGGACTCCCATTGTGAGTGGCTCATCAAGGCAGCTAATAAAAGCCAGTACATTACGTTAAGTTTTATTCGTATGGGTACAGAATGTTCCTATGACTATGTGTTTGTTTATGATGGTGACTCATTCGATGCACCATTGCTCGGAAGTTTCAGTGGGAAAACTGAACCACAAAATGTTACCGCTTCTAGTGGATATGTGAGTATCTTGGCATACAGTAATGGTATTCAGTAAATTCATAAAAACATACAATACTGATTATAATCTGTACAACATTTATCTCTTTGTGTCTATTGTTCTAGATGTTAATATTACTGTATAGTGATACTAATTATGTGTTGGATGGTTTCCGAGCCACATATGCCATACACAACTGTCCCAACAACTGCACGGGCCGGGGACTGTGTGTGTCCAACAAGTGTTTCTGTGTGGGTAACTGGGGCGGGCCTGACTGCAGTGTGGAACTATGCCGCAATGGATGCTCAAGCAATGGCCATTGTAAAGGAGATAGATGTGCATGCAAGAAAGGGTAAGAATTCTTCAAATTCATATATGAAATCTCTAAACATATTGTGATTCAATCCTCAATCAATCTGGTTGATTATGTTAATTTCTGAGAACTACAATTGTTTAATCTGTATAATTATTTTTACATTTGAATCCACATGGTATAGCTAGCAAAAATATGAATGTGTGAGTGTACATATTATTATGTAGAAAAATCAGTCTTAAGTCAACAGTCAAGCTTGTCAGTTTTGTTTGTATAGTCACTTAGTACATCAAGTACATGTGAACTACTTGATGAATGTTGTGATGTTTAGTTTATTTCAGTTATAAACACATGAGAATGGGACAAAACATAAGTTTTATATATTATGAACTCAGTTCTTAGTGTAAAATAATCAATAATGACAAAGCAAAAGTTTCAAATAATATTTGACCTTTGGAAATAATCTGTTTGTGCATTTGTCAGGAAGCAAAAAATTACCATACAGAACTGTATAACATATTTATGTTCGGGTATATTTGTTGATTTCTGTGTTGTTACAAGACTGCTTACTTTTATAAACTAATCTGTTTTAACTAGTTAATGCGTATATTTTTATAAATTCTAAATGTAGAATAAATAATAAATATATAGAATATCCATTGTGAATATAAATCACAAGATCCAAGGCTTTGTAAACTCGAGGATTTCTTGGTATAAATATAAATTTAAATTAGGTTTTTCCTCATCATTACAAATTTGTATAAGTAAATCATTCTTTAAAATTATCCTCTTTCTGTATAGTATATCTGTATGTATCTATGGATGACATGGATCTATATCCTGTATAGAGATTTTCCTCTATATGTATGAAGGAAAAAATCTCTATCATTGATTTCAATTTATTAATTACTCAATTAGGTAATTAATGGTATTGTCATGATTTTGAAACAAAAACGATATTGTTAGCAACAGTCCACTGTGGATTAAACTGACAGACAAATTGATGGCTTGATTGAACTTCCTGCTTGATGCTTTTATCTAATTAACACAGGTATTCTGGTGAATCATGTTCTCTCAAGAAGAATGACAAGGAAGGCAATAGTTGGCACTGGTTGTCACATACAGAAAGTGGAATGACCAAAAGAGCGGCCCATACTGCAGTCTATGTCAACCACACAGACTCTCTTTATGTTTTTGGAGGTTATGATCTGAACAAAGTGCTTGGTTTATTGGAGGTTTACAGGTCAGTCGAACTGAGTATTTACACACCCATGTCATGGCAATGTCAAACATATACTCCAACATGTATTGCGAACATGTACAAAATGCTAATGATGAGTTTTGTAGTACAGACAGGTCCTTGTAAATTGTAATATTATACTGTAATCATAAAATGAAATAACAAGGGCAACAGAATGAATAGTTTTGTGTGACATCATTATAAAATCATATTGTTTTACTTCAAGAGTAATCAAGTTAAATAGTCCAAGATTAATACTTATTACAGTCAAGCTGATGACCTGTGCCATATAATAAAATGTTTATTAATTGCACAGCTTTTATCTTTTTTAATAGTATTATGGTTGTATGTTCTTTTAACTATGTACAATTGTTTATAGGTTCTCAACTAGTCAGTGGTATGATGAAAATGGAAAAGTATTACGCAGATATCCTACAAATGAGGAAATTGATAAGTCTTTGTTGACTTTATTTACTAAGGTAAAACATTGTAATGTTTATCTCTTACTACATTGTCAAATGCGAATCTTTATAATTACGGCGCCAATCTCAATTGGATTCCGATTTGGTTCTAATTAACCCATGTTGAAATTAAGCTTTATATTACAGGGTAATGTTGATGGCAGCTGGCAAATAGGCAACAGGAGCTCTTTGTTTAATTTACTTCTATCTTCATTCTCTAACCATGATAAGACAACACTACCGCTCATGTACTCTCATGCACCAACACCATACTCTGAGAGCTATTTACATTTTACTGAGCAACCAGAGGTAGTAAGTAATGTCATGAAGGATAACACTACCAAACCTGAACCAAGGTATGGTCATTCTGCCTGTGCATTTGGACCTGGTTTCGTGCTATATGGGGGTAAGCTCTCTGATGGGAGCTTGTCCTCTGAACTATGGATGTATGACGTCACGTTAAACCTCTGGACTCTGCGCGCTGTGAACGCCACCTTCACCCCACCGGGGCTGACTCGCCACACACTAACCGCCGTCAAAGATGAATTATACCTCTTTGGTGGCAGTACGATGGATGGAGAGTTCTCCTCAAGGTAAATAATTAAACACTATAATTTATTCTTTTTGCTTTTTATTGATTAGTTTACTACATTTTTCCTTCCCTTTGTTCGTAGTATGTACAAAATAAAACTTGATGACGTAAACACGGAGACTTGGGAAAGAATACAAGTGAGAGGTGGTAAGGAATTGGATGTTCGAGTAGTCGCTCATACTGCTGTGTATCATACGCATTCTAATTCGATATTGGTGTACGGAGGCGTGGTTGCCAGTGTTGCGCGGTGAGTGAATATGTCGATTATAGTAGAATCAATTCAATGTTATCGATTACTCGGTTTGTATAAGCTTCTCTTTTGTCTTCCAGGTTTTCAAAGCTCTCAGATCGGATGTTCGCTTTCGACATAGATTATAAACACTGGAGTGAGATACACTATCCTCGCGCTCATTTACGAGACACGTATGTGCCAAGAGAGAGGGCGTTTCATACGTCAACTATTATTGGTATGTTCAAAATTATATGTTAACACATCCTGTATAGTAATGACCGTTTTCCTTCTAAGACATAGCCATATATCTTATGTAATTAAGCATTAAAGTGGCATTTAAATGAGTTTAGTATATTCTACAACAAAATGTATTTTTAAATATTTCAGGAAATTATCTAGTGGTATTTGGTGGCTATTCTCACCGTCACAATAGAGAAGAGATCTGTTATGATGGTCAAATGTACATCTACCACTTGGGCTGTCACTCTTGGATTCCATTGGACGTGTTGGGCAAAGTGCGTCGGTTCTATCCGAAGAAGCAAGGCGTGTTTGCGCACGCGGCGGCACTGAGACCACCGTCTACTTTGTTAATTGCTGGTGGTTACCATGGCAACGTTAACGGTGAGTGTAGAAAAATTAAATAGAAGTAAAATAATGTTTATTCAATAAAAACTGGTCATAATACATAAATTATAATATGTAATACAAACAAACTGTTAAATGCCTGTACTAAGATAAATCATGTATCACAGACGAGAGGAGCTCTTAAAACTATGCTTAACCCAGTCGCTGCGGCAAACGCCTATCGTCGTTTTTTATTTTATATTCAGGTGCAGAGTACAATTGTATATTTATTGGCAAAAACCAGTTATATTATCCATTTGAGGTGCTGAGGACGCCCATCGGCGTTATAGACGAATACCACCCTGCACCTTATATAGGTTAAAGTTAAAAAGTTAATTTTCTCTGCCGCAATGAATGGGTTAATGTAGGACAACTTATTCTATACACAAGATAATTAATGTGGTCTAATATTAAACTTTTTGATTATTTGATATACATACATAAATAGCACCACGCCTTCTGTTCCCCGAAGGGAAACAAAATGAAGATTAACTTATGCGATTTTATGTTGTTGTTGTCAGTAGTTTTTAATGTTAGTACACTGTCTGACTTCGTGATTTGTTCCCATTGCTTGCAGGAGATTTATTAGCCTATGTAGTACCGAGTTGGCAAGCAGGCATTACCAATAGCGACCCGGAGTCGGCCTGTCGACGTCATCGATCTCAACCGGAGTGCTTAGCGGACCCAGAGTGTGGATGGTGCTCGGCAGACGACGTAAGTATTTATTCTCCATTTTAAATTTTCATATGACAACTGAAATCGACAGTATCTGATATTTATTTATTGAATTGTGTTTATAATGAGACATATAAAATTGTTTTAGATGACTTATTAACACAACTGTTTACGAGGTAACGCGACTAGTTTCAAGCCACACGGGGGTCTATAATCAAACTATATTTGTCATGTGTAGGTAAATAAATTTTATATTTGTTTTTTACAGACATGCTATGGTAGAAGAATAGGAGCTAACTGTACTACAAACCTGCAGTCTATCCGATGTGGCGGTATATGTCCAGCGCTGGGCGACTGTCACTCCTGCCTCATCCACGGGCCGTCGCCCGGGGCCAACAGTAGTCGCACGCCTCTACCTTCCGTCAGTACTAAGCTGGGACTCGACCAGTGCAACTGGTGTGTCCAAATGCTCGGTGTCATCATAAAGATGGTAAGGATTTATTTGTATGATTTTCAAATTTATTACGAAGTAATAAGGTCGAAAATATAGTTTGGCAATTTGATGGAGGATTTTTTTTCTGTGTCATGCTCAATTAAATAGTTATTAACACAATTACACATAATTTCATTACACTTTTTTTAGATAATTATGGTGTGTGCGGAGAAGATACACCATCAGAAAACCCTGGCTGGTGGGGCACTACGGGCACTGAAGTCACAACGCCAGACGAATGTAAAATACTAGACAAGCGACCCGGCCTCACCTTCCTCAGATACCAACAACCAGCTGATTGGAACCACCCAGATGGTGTATCTGTGGTTAACGCAACTATCGTTGACTGGAGCACTGGTGGCGGCAGTAACCAGATATTCAGTGGATCTAGTGAGGCGAGGCTCAGGGGCTGGCTACATATACCGCAGTATTGGAATGGGACTGGCGAAACATTGCACATTTGCGCAGGATACTCCAATATATCTCTTGCACTGGGTGACGTCACAGATCCAGTAGCCAACCTAACAGCACAGCCATCAGCTTGTTCTCTAGTAGACTGGCCCGCGCTGTTCCCAGGCCGCCTCGCAGTCGACATGCACGCGAATGATTCTTTACATACTGGGTTATATCCTTCACATCACCGTGCTAAAATGGAACTACTACACAATAAATCTCAGGAAAGTGCAAAGGTAAGTTTTATTTTATCAGTGATACACGTTATTTTACGAAGAACATTTTTAGACTGTGATGTTCAAGTTACAATGTTAATAATTGAAAATATTGTTGTAGGTGTTTACATTTGAGTTCTTGGAGCCGTACTCCGACGGTCAGTGTAACTACGACAACTGCCTGCTGTGCCTGTCGGACGCGGCGTGCGGCTGGTGCGAGCTCAGCGGGCGCTGCGAGGCGCGCCACGTGGACGAGCGCGTGGCCTGCAGCGCCGGCGGCCAGTGGCGCTACCTCACGCTGCAGCCCGCCGCCTGCCCCAACTGCTCCAACTACATCAGCTGCGAGCGCTGCGTGGGCGGCAACTACTGCGAGTGGTGGGCCGACGAGGCCCGCTGCGCGCGCCGCGGCCGCGCCGCCGGGGCCATCTCGTCGCGCGACGCCTGCCCCGCGCCCTGCCGCCTGCGGGCCGACTGCGAGCACTGCCTCGACGAGCGCGGCCGCTGCGTCTGGTGCGAGGCCACGCGACAGTGCTTCAGCTTCAGCGTCTACACCAGCGAGTACCAGTTCGGCCTGTGTCGCGAGTGGCTGGACCGCGCGTCCTCGCCGCCGGACGACGCGGCGCGCAAGGCCGGCCAGTGCAAGTCGTGCCGGCGCCACGCGCAGTGCGCGGCCTGCCTGCGCAGCATGGGCTGCGGCTGGTGCTACTCGCACGACAACCCCATCAACGGCGCCTGCACCGAGGGGGACTTCACGCGCTCGCACGCAGACTGCGCCGCCGTGCTCAACGTCACCACCAGCGACGCGGGCTGGGCCTACGCGCAGTGTCCCGACGTGGACGAGTGCGGCCTGGGGCTGCACGACTGCCACGAGCACGCCATCTGTAACAACACCCACGGCTCCTACACGTGTAAATGTAAGCAGGGATACATTGGCGACGGCAAGAAGAGTTGTATGCGCACCTGTTACAATAACTGTATCCATGGCTATTGTCTCGGATCTCCTCAATACAAGTGTAACTGTGATTTGGGCTGGACGGGAGCAGACTGTTCGATAAACTGTGGCTGTCATAATCACTCGACGTGTAGGCTGGGCGTGGGGCGCTGTGATGAGTGTCAGGACTGGACGGAGGGAGAGTTCTGCGAGTCTTGTAAGCCCGGCAGTCACGGCAATGCTACGACGGGCCAAGGGTGTCGCAGGTGTGACTGTAATGACCATGGTGATGAGACACGCGGTGTCTGTGACGTTGCTACTGGAGAGTGTATTTGCAAAGATAACACCGAAGGGTTGAACTGTGAACGTTGTAAACCTAAGTTTTATGGCGATCCAAGGCATGGTGGCAAATGTTACTACCAATGTGAACCTAGAGGAATGTTAAATGCAACAGAAACTGAAGGAATTGGCTCCTACAAAACAGACCCTGATATAAAAACAATTGGACCTTCGAAGGAGTGTTTATGGATAATATCTGCTGACGATATCAAGGATGCAATCATTCAGTTCACTATAAATTCCTCTACTTTCGATGTTCCCTGTGATGAGAATGCTGTGTACGTTTACGACGGTCTGGGTGGCGTGCCTGACTTGAGCAATAATCAACAGAGTCAGTTGCTCGGAGTATTCTGCAATGGTGCTTCATCAGGAGTGATAGAGGCTCGCAGTGGTAACCTGACGGTCCACTACAAACAAGGGCAACCGGAGCAAGGCTTCGAGGGCAGCTACAAGGTGTTGGCTTGCGACGGGCACTGCTCGTGGCCCAGGGAGTGCAACAAGCGGCACTGCGCGTGTCGCGAGGGGTACGGCGGGCCCAACTGTGACTACGAGATCTGTCGCAACAACTGCAGCGTGGCGGCCAGCGCCGGGCTCTGTGACGCTAGCTACGGGAGATGTCTATGTAATGAAGGTTTCGGAGGCGATGACTGCTCCATCAGACTCGATAAAACACAGCTTGTGTTCACTGAGCTATTTAACTCCGAATATTTATCTGAAGGTTTAGATCACTTGAGGAAAACACTCCCTAGATTTGGCCATAGTTTAGTTGCCGATAGACGTGGGCTTTGGATGTTCGGCGGCTACTCTCTTTCACACGGTCCATTAAACGACATTAGATTCTTCGATACGAAAAATAACACCTGGATGCAAGTTACTGTGGAAGCTACGCCAGATGCTAAGATGCCAGAAGGTCGATATTTTCATGCAGCTGAGATCTATCACTCGAAACAAAATATTTATATTTATGGAGGTTTGAGTTTGCAAGAGAAGAGCGGACAGAACAAGACGCTCGGAGACTTTTGGCAGTTTAGCTTGAAAGACCAGAGGTGGAGCAACATTCGGGGCAAGGATAAAGACAAAGACGGACAGCCACCTGCACTGGCCGGGCATACGCTAACTCTACAGAAGTATTTAGACTATGAAAGTTTGGTTTTGATTGGCGGATTTTCTCTCGAAGAAGGTTTTATGTTTGATGTGTGGGAATTTGATCTGGACAATGAGAAATGGATTAAATTGAAAGATGGAGGTGCGAAACCTTCGGGAATAATTGGCCATAGCACTATTTACCATGCGCCATCTCAAAGTCTGTATGTGTATGGTGGGATCTTATACTCATACAACGGCACTATGTTATCTAACAAGCTGTTTTCGTTCCACTACCCTACAAAGCAGTGGAGTGAACTACCAACATTCCCGATATTGAACAACTATTACGACAACTTGCCACAAGCCACATACTTGCACTCGGCAGTCACGACCAATGATTACATGATTATTTTCGGAGGAAGGACTGACCCGGAAAATAGATCTGACTCTCTTATAGCGTACATCTACAGCTGCAACCAATGGGTTCGACTTGTTAAAGGTGCGTATTGTATTTATTCATAATGAACTCTTTCTGTAAATAAATAAATGCGACTTTTAATAATAATACCGATGTTTACAGGCGTAAGTATCGTCGGTCACCCGCCTCCGCCCACGATAGCTCACGCCATGGCAATAGACATAGACACAGAAAACGAAGGTTACATCTACATCATAGGCGGTTGGACGGGCAGCGCTCACTGTCAAGTTACCCGCATCTCTTTGCCTGAAGACCTGTGTTCGCTATGGAGTTCCAACAAGTTCGAGTGTCGCAGTCATATGGGGTGTAGTTTCTGTAGTACTGGGAATTATACGAAGTGTTTCTCGGTGGATAAGCCTGGCTGTGAGGGCAGTGACAGTGTGGCAGTGAACCCGGGCGCCGCGTGCGACTCGGAGCTGGTGTCCACGCGCGCGTGCGAGAACTTCACGACTTGTACGTCGTGCCTGGCGGCCTGGCCCATGTACCCGGAGGACAAGCCCGCCTGTCGCTGGTGCGAGTCATGCGCTGCAGCTGTCGGTGCGTATGCTACAGTACTGTCAATTATTCCTGCTTCATTATAAGACTGTTTGTTGTCCGCAACTCACTTAAGGGTCCCATAGAATACTAAAGAGCTAAACATTCACATAATGTATTGTCTCTTTAGTCGCGCTTGTATAAGTGGTTTATATCTTGATTTCACTATTTTAGGTGAATGTGTACCCACGGACGAATCCTGTACCAGTATGAAATGTAACGCTGGCACTACCTACATCAGTGACGTGGGTAACTGTCCAGAACTCAGATGTGCATCATCTGACTGTGAAAAATGTGTGTCTAAAGAATGCACTTGGACTAGACATGCTGTGAGGGAAGGTAAGCCGGTTTTCGCAGCAACAACAACTATTCAAGGTGTGAAAACAATAACAACCAATATATCAAAATCTATTAATTTTCTAGGTCAATTAACAAGAATAGCAGATGAGTCGATGGAACTGTTCAACTGGACGTGTGCGTCTATAGAGGAGCCAGGTCGCACCAGTCTACGAGCGACCAAGAGCGAGGAGTGTCCGAGCCGGTGCAACATGTTCGACGACTGCCAGTCGTGCCTGAGCACGGACGGCGGCGAGGGAGGGTTCGCGGAGTGTCGCTGGGCGACGTACCTGGGCAAGTGCATCTCGCCGGCCTACCAGCCCGTGTACTGCGCGGGCGGCGTCTGCGGCCTGGTGCTGGCGCGCGGCGGCCGCAGCAAGTGCCCGGCGCCCTGCGCCACCTTCGAGCAGTGCGCCGACTGCCTGCACCACTCGCACTGCGGCTGGTGCGCGCTGGCCGGCGCCAACGGCCGCGGCGTCTGCTCCGAGGGCTCCATCGACTCGCCGCTCGACTACTCCACGCGCACCACCTGCGCCGCCGTCTACTCCGCCGCCAACCACGACGACTACTCCAACGACACCTTCTCCTGGCACTACACGCGCTGCCCGCCCGAGAACGAATGCGAGAATAACCACCACCAGTGCAAAGCAGAATCTGAGGTTACATTTTTATTTTTCTTACGTGTAAGTCTGCTAGATATGAAAAAAATGGTTGAATTGTTATAATACCGCCTTCATTGGGTTGCAGGTTTGTCGAGATTTACCCGAGGGCTACGAGTGCGCGTGCGGCGCGGGCCACAAGCGCGCGGCGGGCGGTGCGGGCGGCGCGGGCGGTGCGGGCGCGGGCTGCGTGGCCGTGTGCTCGCAGGGCTGCGTGCGCGGCGCCTGCGTGCAGCCCGACGTGTGTCGCTGTGAGTTCGGGTACGTGGGCGCCAACTGTACCATACAGTGCCAGTGTAACGGACACTCCGACTGCGAGGGACCCGACAAACTCGACAAGTGTATCGAGTGCCATAACAACACCATGGTAAGTCTTCCACCTCATTAAATTATTAGTCTTCTTCTTTAAACTTTTTATTAACGTGGCATTCCTTTATAGGGTGATCAATGTGAAAAATGTAAACCAAACTTCGTGGGCGACCCAGTGAACAACGTACAGTGCGTGCCGTGCTCTACGTACTGTCACGGCCACACGTCTATATGTACGAGCGAGGTGGACGTGACCCCGGTCCGCGAGCTGGGCGGGCCGGCCGAGCCGGACGACTACCGGGACGGCAGCGCCAAGGCACGTTGTGTACGCTGTGCCAACAATACAGACGGGCCTCGCTGTGAGAGGTGTATTGAAGGATACTTCAGGGGCTCCGATGACTTTAGAGACCCTTGCAGACCGTAAGTACCATTATAGTCAGTAGGCTTAGATATAAAGCTTATTTATTTACATCTCTGATAACAGATTTCATACAATGACTTGACTGTTCTAGGTGTGAATGTCACGGACACGGCGACACCTGTGACCCAGTAACGGGAGAGAAATGTAACTGTGGCAACAACACAGAGAGTGACATATCTTGCCAGACGACCAGCTCCAGTAAGAACTCAGCGCAGGAATGCTGGCGCTACCAGTGCGTGAAATGTAAGGACCTTTACATGGGCGACCCTAGGAACGGACACCAGTGTTACAAGACTATCAATATAGAAAACAAACTTTGCTTCGATGGAAAATCAATTGGTATGTATTTATCACAATAGATGTTAATTCTATACACATTTTAAAGAACTCACTACATGATTATTTAATTTCCAGATGAGTGCAAAATTAAGCCACGCCCTCTGTACCCTGGTCAGACAGTATTCGTGGCGGTTAATCCGAGATACATGAACGTAGACATACGAGTGATAGTAGACGTGACGCAGGGTGCAGTGGACCTCTACCTCAGTCCAAACGACAGTTCGTTTGTAGTGTCAGTGAACTCTAGTAATGGAGACCACTCGGTGGAGTTGGACCCCACGTATCACAAACATGAGCCGAGTCGACGAGTGCCGTCGTTCGATGACCACGTGCCCGAGGAACCACGCGTCACCTGGTACTATGATAAAGTGGAGTACACTCTGGCAGACTACACAGCGAAGGACCTGGCGACATACGTCACGGTGGACCGCAGGAATATCTTACTTCGCGTCAGGAACCTCCGCAACCGCCTTGTGCTCACTCTCCCCCAAAACGTGCACGATCTCACACACACCAAGTTCTACATCGTAGTCCGGCCCGCCACACTGAAGACGGTGCCGCCAGCTTCGGAGTTATCTTCTTCCGCCAAGACCAGCTGCACATAGACCTGTTCGTGTTCTTCTCTGTGTTCTTTTCTTGCTTCTTCCTGTTCCTGGCCGCATGCGTGGTGGCATGGAAAGCTAAACAAGCTGCCGATGTTCGCCGGGCGCGACGGAGACACGTTGTTGAGGTAACCATTTATTGACATGTGATTTATTATCTGTTCTTTACGTATGGTGCATAATTGATATCAATCTATTCTATGCAGATGCTGCACATGGCAAAGCGACCTTTCGCTGCGGTGACGGTGGTACTAAGCGGTGGTGTGACGTCAGCAGGCCCCCGCCGTCGTCGGGCCCCTGATCTGCGACCCGTCGCTATCGAGCCCACTGGCGATGGCCGTGCCGCTGTCACATCTGTTCTCGTGAAGTAAGTTGTCATTGATAATTGTACAACTCAGAAAAGTATTAATTATATTTAGTGGTTCAATAGCTAACCGATGATCACTATGTAGACTGCCTGGAGGGTCCCGTGTACCCGTGCGGTTGGCACTGGCGTCGTCCCTGGTGCTAGTAGCGCGAGCGCCTGCAGCCCGGCAGCGGCGCGCGCCGCCCCTGGCGCGACTGGCGGCGCACACCTAGCCCCCGCCGGCCCGGCACGCGGCAGCCCTGTCCCCGCCAGCCCGGCACGCGGAAGCCATGCTCCCGCTGGCCCGGCATGCGGCAGCCCTGCCCGTGCCCGCGCTGCACGTGCCAGCCCTGCACAATCAACACCACGCGCCCACTCTGTAATTGAGACTCGACGAAGTCCATGTAAGCACAAACAAATAGTCTGCCTAATGGGAGAGCTGAGCTTGCAGGTACAAACAGCTCTTCTTTTATTTCAGAATAAAATGCTCGTATCCTTGGCCGCGACAGACGTACGTCGTCGACGACCAATGTAATCTAAGTAAATGTTCAACCTATGTAATTAGGGCGGGTGTAATAGATTTTATTAAAATTATGTATATATCGATCGGTGGTGAGTGGTGCGATTGGTCTCCACTTACACAATCATGTCGAGGATCTGCTATTTATCTTCGCCAATATTGAATCTCGTGACTGCCGTCTCGACGCGAGCGAGGAGCCAAAGGTATCAAAATTGAGCGCATGTTATGCGCGGGTTGTGAATAGCCGATATTCGCTGATCTGTTGTGTTGTTTATCTCGAAATTTTATTATGTGATGTTGACGCCACATTTTGTTAATGAAATGTTATTGAATGTCTATTTTATGAGTTAGCTTCAGATCTTTATTTACAAGTTTTAGTAGGTGATTAAAATATTGCAGCTGAGTATTTCTAAGGTACATTAGAAAAAATATGTTCCTACGGATAGATGAATCTCTTAGATAAAAGATATTATTAGTTAATTAAATTACATAATATCTACGGCAGTTATTTTCTAAATTGAGTTTATTTTACTTTGAAAGACATGATTTTGCATAAATCTGATTATACAATAAGTATACTGTATAGGTTTACGTTTGCCTGCATTTGCTATTCTTGTGAAACTGAATTTAAACTTGCCAGATAGTACTACGGTAAATATAAAACTGAGATTATGTTAAGTACGTAAGTACCTACACGATTTAAAGCCAATGTTGTATACACGCGATAAATTACGTAACTGCTGGTCATGTCTCATGTGTTTGTATTATTGTTGTTATAATTATGCTTAGAGCACAAAATATATCTAATCCTTTACCAATTTTAGGGAGGACCGACTATTTATAGCCAATTGACAAACGTAGCATAAATAGTTAAATATATTCGTAAATACGTAAATTTCCCTATTCTTCATTTGTAGCTAAATTAAACAACTGTTGACTATGTTCGTGTCCGGTGGTACACGGATAACTGTCTCGTGGTCAAGTTATTACGTAATTAACTTCAGTAACTATGTATGTATGTTTATTTATTGTTGTAGACCACGGCATAACAAGGTTCATCTCGTTTTCGATACTTCATAAAGCAAGGTGTGCTGTGTACATACTGTAATTATTTTGTGAATAGCCATTATAAAATGCTTGTACAGGCGTTACAGTAATTAATTCCGATTATTTAATTGCTCATTAGTAAATCAGCAGTATTGTGTAAATGGATTGATCAATTACTTGATGTGTAAGTAGAAATATATTAAATAATTAGTTTTAACTTTAAAATAATAAGAGAGTACTGAATATTGTTATGGCTACATTATTAAGTTATACATAATCAAATGAATTGTACTTGATCAAAGGTATAAACTGAGTCCAAAATACATTCCATTTGTATAACTTTGTACATAAAATAATGTGTAATAATTGTGTATTACCAAATTTTAGATCAGGTATCAAAGAGCTTTAAGGATATTTATACTAAGAAAATTTATTGCTCATAATCTTCAATTAGATGTTTCTTCACATTAAATGCATTTATATATCGTTTCCCTCTAGAGCTGTATACATTTATTTAGAACTGAAAGGGTTTCTTTATAAAGTCCGTAGTTTACACTTACACCTAAGTTGTGTGAATGTTTGTTGATTAGAATGCATTTGTGGCATGCTCTATGGTGATGGAAATAGTGCATTAAAAATATAATTATTGTCTATGCTATTACATTCTAAGTATTAATTGAAATGTAAAACAAAGCTAGCATGGCTAGTTCAAAAGGAGTGTCTATTTCAGTAGATGAAATACATTATTGTATTTACCTAATTTCGTCCTTTTTTGTGCTCAATGTTATAAACCCTATTGAAACTATTTCTTATAATATGATTGCCAAAATGACAAAAGGTATTATCGTTGTAATAATAAAATACAAGTACATTAGCACTTGGAACTAGTAATTTGCTCTCACAGTAACAGTGTTGTCCAACTCTCAATAATGTTCGTAGTGTCTATTCTTAACTGAATTTTATTATAGGTATTGGGATTACCTTTAGAAAAATAAGCATAATTTTATTTGCTCAAAATATTTTTATATTGAACTATGACAGCTCTGTAATGCATTTGTGTAATTTGTATATCTTTGTTCAGTTGTTTTTGGTTTCCCTTACTGATGAACATGTTTAGCTAAGTTAAAGCCATACTTGCTTCTCTTCAGGTGTGATATTATGTTAAGAGTTTACTTTGTAAAACAATGCCCAATATAAAATGTATTTATTGTAGTAAGCCATGTGTTTTTAAATAGTTTTGTGTATATATTTGGTACATATGATTTTAAGCATATATGTTTGTTTAGAAAGTGTATCGGGGCAGCATTATTTTATATTAAAAGAATATCAAAAGATGGTCTCTATAATAAGATCTTGAATTACATAACTGTTGTAATAAAATGTCCATGACAAGATTTTCAAGGCAATTTTCTTTATTTTAAATGGAATCTTGGCAGTATTATGTATAAGCAATATATATTATATTTTTGTTTAACCTGAATGTATAATAAATGTTTATAAAATAAAATATACTGTTGGTTGTAAATCGAAGTTTTTATTTTTGCATTCAACAAAATGTCACAGGAGTGTTCCAAGTAGCAACATTGTGAATATTCAAATGATCATTCAAAAATATAATGACTTAACCAAACTTGATCAAATTAAATATAAACCTTACGATAAACTAAGCAAATAAAAATATGATCTTATTATTTAAGGAATTGATAAAATGAGAAGAACTACTTAAAATAATATGAAACCTAAGGAGAGTTTCCTATTGGTCTTTTTGCGTGAGTAGATGAGTTTTAATTTTCTGAAGGAGTTCTTTTTTCACAGTGTCAGGAACTAATGCTCGTGCACGAGGAGTAACCCTGGCTGCTAGCATGTCAAATGTGATGTTATTACTTTCATTTTCTTTGACTACATCTCGGCAGAGCATTCTAACTTGGTCTCTCCAGCCGCATTCAATCAATCTTCTTCTTAGAAGCTCTTTGAATCTGCAAAAACAATATTGAATTGTTTGTAATTGATATCAGATTGCATTCATGGAATTAGCAGAAAATTACAAACATTATGTTAGTTCTGGTGGTGGTATTTTGTGTAGTTTTAAACTACAAGACAGAAAGAGGTTGTAATATGTCAATAGAAAATATATATATTTTTTCTTATTTGATGGGTCTATTGGTATTTGACCACAATCTTGCCTGGTGGTAAGCAATCATGCAGTCTACGATGGAGCATGTCTGTCCCATAAGGACTTGCTTATGTCTATATTCTAGCAAACTATAGGTATATCAATACAGTCATCAACAATTGATTAGCAAGCATATTGGAGATTGCACTTTTTTCTATTACCAGTTAGACAAAACGTATATTAAGTATATTTCTACATGAAATCATAAAACTATTTTAGTTAAGTCATCAACAAAACTGTATGGTAGGTTTATACATAAATATTATGTACAATTCTTACCTTTCCCTGTCTCCGGTTAAAACCAATCGCTGATGTGCTATAGTATTGTTTACAGTCATTTTAACCTGAAAATAAGGAGATTTTAATAACATTATCTTCTAGAACACTCAAACTGAGAGCCATAATAATAAGTACAACATAAGTTTAATGATGTTCTAATCTAATGAATACTTACGTGTTATATGAAGTGAAACACTAATAATTTCACAAAAAATAACAGACGTCCAACAACAATCAGTCAAAACCAATCAACATCAACAGTGATTAACAAAGAGTATAATAAGTATAGGGGTAAACAAAAGCAGGATAAATCATGAGTATTTGACAATAATGACACTGACAGACAATGACACTGACAGGGAAGACGCAAAGAACCACAGATACTCGTCTATTTGCTCGTCTATTTAATCACGAAAACGATGTTGAGTAACTATGTTGTTAATTATGGTTGTTACACGAAGGGAACACTCAATGAAAGTAAATTGAATGTCATCATCATCAGCTTTGAGCACTTTGTGTGATCGACTTTTAGTTCGATTGGTTATGGATACTTGAAAAGTTTTCCGGGAATCCCTCAAATTTCTTTCATATTCATGTTTAATTCTAGTGTAAAATAAAACGCTAGTATCAATATTATAATCTACGTATATTCACTCTGTAGGGTTTGCTACGTGAACGACTGTGGTGCCCTCATTCGTTTTCATGATAAATAGGCAAGCTGAAAAATGCAATAATTATTCTTTTACTTCCTTGTTATTTTTGATTACTTTTTGACTTCTTAAACTGAGGAATATCATTAGCACAAGAAGTCAAAAATTATTTCATCCTATTGCGAAACAATCTGGGAAGATTGGGAGGAAATACTTAAAGATTACGAAAATGAACGTTTCGAACACTACTTTGCTTCAAAAAATGTTATGTTTTTGGGTTTTCGGGAGAAATGGGAAACAGTTCATTCCCAAGCTCAAAGAGTTTAGTTTTTCAATAAAGATGTAGATAAACTATTTATGTTTTTTATCTGTGGGACTATAAGTTTATGGGAACCCTAGATTCTCGGATCGGAACAATAACTGCTTTAGTTATTGAGTTATTGTTCCGAGCCTAGATTATAGGTTGAAGATTGACATTCGACACTTGACAGTTTGACACAAAGAGTATACTAAGTTGACAGCTGTGTGTGTTGTGAATATTTTTAATTTAATATTTTTCTATACCTAATTAAAAATATTTATTTATTATACCTCGATAGATATTTATCACAAAACAAAATAGTAAACCTTAGTTATGGCTCATGTTGTGGTTTTGGATTCAATTGATGAAGATATTTTTGTTTGCGGGACTTGTAAAACTGTATTTAACTCCTTACAAATATTCCTTGACCATAAAAAATCAAAATGTAGCAATATCGTTTTAGAAGGAAGATATTCGAATGTTGAATTGGTGCAGCCAGCTCTTGGTGAACCCTTTCCTGAGAACATTCCGACTTTGCATCAAAGCGAAGTATTACCTGATCCACTGCCAGTGGCGGACCAGACATGGCCTGAGGATCTCACTTGTAGTACTTGCAAGAAGAAATTTAAAAAAGTCAGAACCTTAATGGCTCACATGAAAACACATTGCGAAAAGCCATACCAGTGTCCTATCTGTGGTAGATGTTTTATTCAAAATTCACATTTACAAAGACACATTACTTCTCACAGAATATGGCCAGATGGTCTAAGGGAGACCACAGCACAAACTCCTGAAGAAGAACTTCTAAGTTACACATGTTCATATTGCAACTTGATTTTACTAAATTACAGTCAATATAGGGCTCACCTCAAAAATCATTTATCTCTAAAGAAATATAAGTGCATACAAGGAGAGTGTTTAGAGTTTTTTGAGACAGTTGATAGTTTGTTGCATCATGTGTCTATTGAGCATGAGAGACCTGTTTATATTTGTCATCTGTGTAGTTCTACTTTCAATAGCTTGGAAGATATTGCTGTTCACCTGCAGAGTGATAATGATGGATGCAAAGATAGCCAAAACAAGCTAAAAGTATTTAAATGCTCACAATGTGATGCTAGATTTCGAAAATCTGAAAAACTGGCTCTTCATTTATTGACAGAAAATCATAACAAGATATGCATTCATTGCAATAAAACATTTGCAAGTGATAAGAGATTGCGCTTGCATCTACAAATACATAGGACACTGAAACCATTTCAGTGTAACATTTGTAACAGTAGTTTCCACATGAAGAAATACTTATCAACACACATGCTGAAACATGGCAATAGACAGTTCAAGTGTTCAGTTTGCAAGTATACATTCAAAAGGCAAGATTTGCTTCAAAGGCATATGAAATTACATCAAGCAAAGAAAATGTTGAAATGTCCCTTTAAAGATGCTTTGGATTGCAAGAAGGAATTTAGCCGCACTGACAAATTGAAATCACATATAAAATCTCATACAAAACATTTAGCTCTTCATGCAAAGACTAAAAAGGCTGGTCATGAAAATATTACAGAGCAAAGTACTGATGAGTGACAACAAAAACATGATGTTCATAATTTTGAATACCTATTATTTCTGGTATAAGATATCTTAAACTTAGAATTGAAGATGTGGAGGTAGTTTTGAAATCATATTGATTTGAATTTCCACCTTGAATACCCCAAAGTGATGAAATAAAGGTTGTTAGTCGAACCATGCCATGCAGCTGAGGGGCTTCATTCAAACAGCTAGCTATATCTAATTAAGCAATAAGTCAGTGAAGCAGGAAAGTTCCTATGGAATAGACATAAGAAAAAGTGGAAGTTATTAAAACAATATTCGTGTGAAATGGATTTCCATAATTCATTAGTATTTTTACTTATTTTATCTAGTCATCTTATTTTAATTGATGTAAGTAATTATTAAACTTAATTTCACTTAAAATGTTAATTATTATCACTGTGTAACCATTTAACCAGATTTGAAATTGTGTTTTAATTTTCAGGCCAGACAATTTCGTGTTACTGACCAAGTGTTTTTTGAAATCACTAGTGAAGATAAAGTTCTTGGTCGAGTAGTGATAGGCCTATTCGGCGACCTTGCCCCAAAGGCTGTCAAAAACTTCAAAGTTTTAGCCTCAAAAGGTATAAATGGGAAGTCTTACAAGGGCACCTCATTTAATAGAATAATCAAACGATTTATGGTACAAGGTGAGATACAAATTCAATTAAATTCATTTTTGTGTTGTGTAGTCCAATAACTGATCCTTGTTTTTTAATTTTATTTAAAAATGTAGATGTAACTAAATGAAAGGGTAGTAGAAATAAATAAAGTTCAAATATCTATAGATTAATTTCTTCTACAATTTATTGTGGGATAAACAGTACATTGTACGAAATAATATCTATTTCCAACTTTTTTATAGTGTCACCTACTTTTCTCCATGATATTACACCTTTTATTTTCTAAAGGGGTATCCACATTATGAAAGTCCACCTATTCATCAGCAATGTTAATGGTTCTATGTAAAGTAATAGGGAAGAGTGATGTAATACACCACAATAAAATTCCAGACTACAATTTCAAACTACCAATTTAGTTTTTAACTCGTCGAGTACCGGTTTTATAGACACAATTAAAGAACAATAGGTCGCGGTCACCGGTGACCGCTTCGTGTTTGACAGTTTAAACTGTATACTGTGACTGTATCCCCTTGCTTGGCACCACTATCTTTAATAAACAATTGTATAATTTTGGTGACAGGTGGTGATGTAGAGGCTGATGATGGAACCGGCTCTATCAGCATTTATGGCGAAACATTCCATGATGAGAATTTGGAGACACAACATAGTGGCGCTGGATTTGTGTCAATGGCTAATAAAGGTATTGTTTATATCTTACTAAAGCCGCCGGGGCCGCTATTTCCCGACGTTCCTGGTGGTGGTATTTTATTTTTACAGAAGTCGTTGTCACTGCCGAATTATTTAATAGCTACTATGCGCGTTTCGGTTATGTCGCTTGTAATCTGAAACAAAAATATTCTTTATCCTTAATGTAGCATATAAACTTGAATTTGAAGAGAATGTTAATAACTTCCTGTTTTAATGGGTACCACATTTCCAGGTCCGGACACAAATGGCTGTCAATTTATTATTACTACCACAGGAACACCTTGGTTAGATCATTTGCATACAGTAGTCGGAAAGGTAAGCAGATTTCTTTGTATTTATTTGTATATTTCATCATCAACAGCCTATAAATGCCCACTTCTGAGCAAAGCCTCTTCTCACACGGAGAAGGTTTGAGCATTAATCACCACGCTTGCTCAATACGGGTTGGCGATTTCAAACTTATAATTAGAAATTATAAGTCCAGGTTTCCTCACGATGTTTTTCCTTCACCGTTTGTCAGTGATGTCTAAATAATCTTAGAAAGTACATATAACTCGGAAAAAGTCACATTGGTACTTGACGTTGGTAGGTTTCGAACCCGCACCCTCATGCATGAGAAGTGGGCGTCTTAAACCTCCGTGCCACCACGACATCCTAAATGTATATTTCATAAAACATTGCTATTAAAAACAAATTAGGTATTTTCTCTTTCGTTTCGTATTTGTTCTTTGGTTTGTTCTTGTCCTTGTCCTGTTGTTTTGATATTAAGTTTGAACATAACATACCATCACGCCGTTTATCCCCGAAGGGCTAGGCAGAGATGCACATAATGCCACTGTATAATATACCCACTTTTTACTATTTATGTTATGAGTCCCATGTAATAGGGGGTGAGGTTATTGCCATCTACTGAAATCTACTTGAAATGAAAGAGTTTATTATTTTACTGCTACCTACAAGTATCGCCAACATAATTATATCTCCTGATATAAAGAAGTGTGTGATTTACTCTCTTGAATCTCCTAGATATATATTATGTCTAGTTATTGAATTTGATATATTGTGTGCAGGTGGTGGACGGGCAAAACGTGGTGCATATGTTGGAGCACACCCCTACTGACGTGGACGACAGGCCACTAATGCACGTGTATATCTCAGACTGTGGCTTGGTGCCAACCCTTGAGCCTTATTACATTTCTGATGACCCTTATGAGTAAGTTTTATTTTTATTCTTTAACTCGTCGAGTACCGGTTTTATAGACACAATAGGGTAGACGACTAATTTTTATTTTAATGTCCGTCTGATAGATTATTTAAAAATATTAGACACGTATTTTTTCTTTTCTCACAGAAACGAATAGTTTCGAAGATATATTGATTTGAAATGTCGCGTGACGTCACTTCTCAGTACATTTTATACTAAGAAATGACGTTTTAGCCCCCACTCCTAAACTTTGATTCGTTTTATATAAGTATTGTTTTATTATACGACAAAATAAAAAAATACGTGTCTAATATTTTTTCATTACCTAACTTACGGACTAATTATATTTTTAATTTTCATACCCTGTCATCATCCCCATTAAAGAACAATAGGTCGCGGTCACCGGTGACCGCTTGGTGTTTGACAGTTTAAGCTAGTAACTCATGTCTAGTCATTTTTATATTTAATGGGCAGACGATTTACCTGCTCAGCTCCTCTTGACCGTAGCGTGATGTTAGCTTTGTGATGATGTGATGTTCAGTTCAGTAATTTGGTAATTAACAAAAAGCTCATAAACAAATTCATAAATTAATACTTATTCCTCTATCAAATGTAGGTTCTTGTAATTAAAAATGATTTTTACGATGGTCACATTTGCAATATACCTATATATGTTCGCATTAAAAATTGCGAATGCGAATATCAAAAAATGAGCGAATATTCGTTACATTATTAAAGTCAACTAAAGAAATTCACACACTCACAAACAAACAAATTCGCCATCAAACAAATTCACAAACTCATACAAATTAACAAAAACGGCACAAACAAACGACTCCTTGACTAAGTTGTTTTTATTCTCTATTCCAGTTTATGGGCGTGGATCAAAGCATCAGCGGTTCCTCTAACCATGTCTTTTTCAATCCTCGGCTTCTTCCAATGGATGATGAGGAAGATGGAAATATAGATTTATTGACTATGAATTCAATTATAAGTGCACTTTGTTAAGGACCTAAATGGTAAAGAAAAAGTAGAAAAGAAAACACACATTTTAATATTTTAATGTAATTTAATATTTAATTGCTAATTTTCGTTTAAATATATAATTTATATGTACAGTCAATCCATTTAACAATCTATTTTAACAAAATGCCACTGATTTTATTTATTTATTTGTACGAATTTATATAAAGTAAGTGTAACAAATGAGATGTTTTATTTCATTACATTAAACAATAGTTGAATTTATTAAGAAAGAATGTGAAATTCAGTTTATAGTTACGTTAGTTTATTTAGTAGGCTCATTATATTACTGAAAAGTACTACTTATTCACGTTCAAACATCGTTCGAAAGTTGCTCGTTTTTATCGTAAAATTGACAAAGAAGCCAAAATATTATGAAGCCACAGTAATGCTACACGGAGTTTGGATTACTGGGACTTATCACTTTATGTCCTCAATACTCCGCATATCACGAAGCAATGTATAACTAGTCGGCGGTAGGTACCTACAGCACTTTGTATTGTTTTGTACATTTTACTCCACTTGGCGCACTGCACACAATAAATAGCACTTTTAACTAGATAGTGTTAGTCCTGATAAGTCGGTCCGTGGGCTATAGGAGTAGTAGTGCGGCGGCCAGCAGTACGGCGGCGGGGGCCAGTGCGTGCGCGTGCGCGGCGTCGGGCGCGGCGCGCGCCTGCGTGTCCCGCGCGTCGCCGCCCACCTGCTGCGCGGGCGCGCCGCACGCCCGGCCGCACGACGCCCACGCGCGACACACGTCGCACGCACTCGCTGCGGCCGGGGAGAAGAACACACGTGCTCGGTGACCTGAAGTATAACAAATTCGATGTTACAAACGAAACCATCTTCTGAAAATCCTTTTGTGGGAGTTACAGTTTCCAATAGCGTTCGACGTGTGTTTTCATTATACGAGATCTCCCGAATTTCGGTTTCCATCATACTTTCGGCAAATTTTTCACCTAAACCAGTTTTATTGCCGAAATTTTATGGAAACCAAACGTTTTCACATAAGAAAAATATCCTTTTCCTTAAAACAAGTCAAATAATAATATAAGCAATACATACTTGAGTCGTAGAGATCCTGTAACGTGGCCCAGGCGGGTCGTTGCCTGGCTACAGGTAGGGCCCGCGGCGCGGCCAGCGTGGCGCAGCGCTCGGCCCGCGCGGCGCGCACCGCGGCCAGCACGCGCGTGCCCGCGCCAGATACACGCGCCCATACTACGTGACGCACTGACTGCATTATAAAAAACGTACTTATTAATATAGGGTGTTGCCCCAGTTATACTAGACTGAAAAGAACCGATTACACTCTCCGATCATAGCCGATCAATTGTAGACATCCTACATACCTACGTCTTAAAACTAATGATCTATAAACATCCACAGACTGAATACGAAAGACGAATAGAAATATCGTCATCCCCGTTACTTTTGGTCTAAAATGACCAGAGAGTTCCTTTAGGTACTTACCGTCAATTCGGTCAATGTGGTAATATCTGCTACATATCCCGACGGAAGTTGGACAGTCAGTAACGTTAGACCACTCTCTGTTTCATTGCCTTGTGCTACGAATCTGTGAACAAGATAAAGTAAAATTTAGTAAGCATTTAGTACCAAGATCCAATGATATTATAAATAATAAAAAGAGGTAGATATCGCACTGGCACGCAAAAATTGTTGCGAACGAATTCAGACAATTGTCGTAATTTTATAATAGCTAAGTATCTCTTTCTATAGACTTTATAGGAAAGTATAGACTTTCCGTATTATCTGTCGCACGTAGTTGAAAATGACATTTAAGTACATTTGTAATAAGAACGCAACAATTTTTGGACGCCGCTTAGTATGAACGTAGCGTATCTTCTTTATAATATCATTGACCAAGATCTGTATATTCAATCCAATATAATTCAAGTTACCCAAAGCACACGGAGAGTTGTAAACGGTCTTTAGTAGAGACTTGGTCTACTCTGGGGTCCAGAGTATACCGCGGCCAAGGTGCTGTGACATTGGTGGCTCCTCGAGCAGACAGGCCGATAAGACCAAGACCACGACCTTCTGTCACTGCGCTTACAGACCGACTGGTGCGGATCTAAAGGAAATAACTTTAATTAGTTAAGCACTATAACAATAAAATAAAACTTAACAAAAGATTTAATAAGAACTATACGATAGGTAAACGCCTCGTTACGCTCACATAAATCTTCAGTCCTCAAATCCCTTACCTCCAAAAGGCTGATAGCATTTGTAACTCCTCTGGTGCTGCTGGTGGCCAGCATTGTAGTGTCATCTTCTTATTTGCTACCCTAAAGTTACCATAGAAAAATTAATATATTACCGGTTTTGACTGAATGACCAGAGCATTGTTTTCAGCAATTTGGAACTGTCTCGCTTCTTCAGATCCAGTGACGTTCACCGACACTCGGAGCTTTGATGATGTCTTCGCCACTTCTGCATACTGTGCCAGTGCATCCATCTGAAATACACAATTAAAGTTGAGCACTCTACTACAGTATATATTTTGAAATACCTACATGCGTATATTCCTAGCGTCCTAAACACCTATAGTGGGTAGGTGGGTACAGATGCTTTAAAAGTCATGTCACAAGTTACTCACCACTTCGGGATCAGGGTCATGCGGAAGGTATGCTTGCAGCAGATACCTAACAACTGGAGTAGCTTCTTCTACCAGCCGAGCTCCCAACATAGCACGCAGGCCCCAAGCCGCTGTCGTAGCTTCTAAGCTGTTGCCCTTCAGCCAGGGATTCCGCCACTCATTTCCTGATAGCGTTCTTGACCAGAATAGGGTTGAACCTAGGGATGCGTCAGGTGATTTTATTAGGACTGTCTATGCAGCTTTCTAGTTTTCTACAAATAATAATTTGTATCTACTCTTTGGTCTTACTGAATACCTTAGATCTTCATTCATATTTTGGTATTCGCATGCTCAGTTTACTTCACATCAGATTAGGAGGTAACTTACCAGTCGTATTCGCGTATTTGTCCATAATTTCTAAAGTTTGCGTGAGTTGTGGGTGTCTGGTGACGGACAGAGCTCCCCCGATGAGGGCCAGGGTATACGCGTCCAAGTCTGGTGATAGTCCTCGGGCTACGAAGTCCACTGCCTTGTTGATGTTGTTCTTGTATAAGACATCACTGCCCTGTAACATTTTAGAATTTTTGAACATCTCCGAAATTATATAATTATATTCATAAGATAGTTTGTAGACGTAGATATAAAACTTTGGGGGTCATTCCCAATGCCTCTATAACTTATCTCATTCTCTCTTTGCTTTTGTCCCTAAAATAGCGTCGTTAACAATAAATTTAGCCTATACCGAGAATTGTTGACCGATCTATGTATTTACCTAGGTCACCTTTTTGATTTTTAGGTTGGAAAAGTTAAAAAAGCGCTACTACTTGGTAGTGGAGCAGATAATAACCTTAGAATAGTGAAGAGCTATAAGCGAGTACGCTGCAAGGGGCAGTGTACCCTGTGCATGTGGCGACGTGGTAGTGCTGGGAGCGCGCCAGTCCCCCGCGGGGCGCTGCGCGGCCGCCAGCCAGGCCGCGGCGGCCCGCGCCGCGCTGGCCTCCACCTGCACGTAGCGCGAGCAACGAGACAACCAGCGACATGCTACTGCCGTCATCCTGGAACAGGCACTAACGCTATAGTCATCGACCAGAATATGACTCACTGTATAATTAAAATTTCCCTATTTTAAGGGCATTTCCATAATCCTTACGCTTAGGCAACCTGACAGCAGTCACTTTTAGTCGGGTAAAAAGGATGCAGCTGTTTGTATCTCGGTGGATAGCCATAGTTTAAACTTTTTAGGAAATATATACGTATTTGGTATTGGTACAAATTGTATTTTACTCACCAAACATCTCCCTCGACGTCAGCATCAAGTTCGGCTGCAAAAGAGCCATCAGAACGTCGATACGCCATTAGACGTTGGTAACCAATAGCTGCCAGTTCCTTTGCTTCTTTAGTTGTAGCTACTTCTTCTTGTCCAGAAGCCTAAAAATTGGTTGTCAAAATAAAAAGCAGCTTAACGAATGATAGGTGCATTGTTTACATATTCTATGAATCATCAATCCATTAAAAATGGATACAAACCTGTAAATAGTCCAGTAGTACGCAAGCTAATGCTAATGGTCTCACTGCATAGGTGGGATCTGCAGCAGGAGCTGGAGGCTCCCTGACAGCCTGTAGGGCTCCAGAGAGCAGGTCGCCAGTAACTAGGAGCGATGTAGGACCTGCCTTAATACCTGGTGGTACTTCAAGCGTTACGTTAGCTCGAGCCACTCCGCGACGAGCGTCCAGTAAACTCCACGAGAATAAATCTTCTTCGTAACCATCCTGCGATAGATATTCACAATTAGAAAAAGGCTATAAGAAAATGTCTGCAAACTTCAGTGGAAGGTTTTGTAATGAGAGTTAGACCTTGGGATGGGAATAAACATGTTCATCAGGTGTACCTTGACTTGAATAGTCCTGAAGAGTGAGTCGGAGACGCCATTACCGCTAGCTTCTACGATGACTGGAGCATCTCCACTGCGCACTACTGTCACTAGGAAGGCAGTGCTCACAGAGCCACGCGCAGGGACCGTCACGCGGACGCGACGGAATAATTCGATCTCTGTGTGATCCGACACAAGAGGTATTAAAGTAAAGCAATTTAGTTCAAAGTTCTATTAATGTCTAAAGAAGAGTCTATTAATATGTTAGTATAAAAGATGTGAAAATATCCTAAGCTAATAATATTTTGTTCACTGTGCTATATTGACTGTTAAACGTATTCACTACCCTGCGAATTTTGGAGTGCCCGAATTAAGGCATTGATTTTTTTTATAGCATAAGCCGGTAAACGAGCAGACGGATCACCTGATGGTAAGCAATCGGCGCCGCTCATGGACACTCGAAATACCAAGGCGTTACAAGTGCGTTACCGGCCTTTTGGGAATTCGGAATTTGAGGATTGTGGAGGATTCGGGGATTCGGGAGATGGGGACTAGGGAGGGGGTAATTGGGCCTCCGGTATCCTCACTCACACGATGAAACACAACGCAACCGTTGTTTCACGTCGGTATTCTGTGATTACTTACTTTTCGCTGAATCGAGTTCGTTATCGAGAGGTTCGAATTCGAAGTATTGGTCGCTGTTGTAGAATGTGACCTCGACAGACGTGTCGACTGCCAAAGTAGTCTTCAAGATAATCACTGCAGCTACAGTTTCTCCTCGTTGTAATGTAGCAGGGAGCTCTGCAGACATCGATAGAGGTACGGAGGTGGTGAACTTCTGTGGAGAAGCCAATCCAAGGCCAAGGGTCGGGTGGACTGAGAAGGCTCCGATTGAGAATTCACCAGGACTCACTGCTGTCCAACGTTCTTTAGCTCCTTGTCCGTCGTTACTGTAATAAAAAGTTGATACATTAGTTTATGCAAAGTACCCTTAACCGACGAGCATGCATGAAAAGATTGATGACTGTTGATGAAGCGAAAGAGGCATGTAGGAATCGTAGTAATTGGCGTTCCATAGTCTCTGCCTACCTCCATGGGAGACAGGCGTGAAGTTATGTATTTATGTAGGTTTATTATTGCATAGGGGGGAGGGGGCAATTGGGCAACCGGATCGCACGTAACACTAAAGTAGTCACAATGGGGGCTAACATTTTGTTGCACATCAGATGGCGTCAATGTAGGAATAGATTTTTTATCCAATCACAACAGCTATCAAATATTGAACGTCCAATGATGTGACACTAGCTATTTCCTTATTGGACGAAGAACGAAGGGTTCACGGTAGGCAGCATTATGTGGGTAGCAGGCCTTTTAAAAGTGAACCATGTTCAGAGTTCAAAGTTCGTGTCCACGTACCCGATAGTAAGGTTGGCCAGCATCCACGTGGGTTGTGGAGTGACAGTGAGGTAGTATCGAGGAGATGGCGGCGGCGGCAGGCGACTGAAGGCGTACGGACCTGCCTGCGGAGCACGAGTGCCTGTCTCTACTACAGCTTGAGTTGGAGCTGAATCTGGAATGAGGAGTTTAAAATAAATTATATGCACTTAAGTTCAACATACATCAATAACCTATATTGTATATGTGCCTACTGCTGAGCAAAGCCTCTTCTCACACGTAGAAGGCGCGACCATTAATCACTACGCTTGCTCATTGTGGGTTGGCGATTTGAAGCTTATAATTAGAAATTATAAGCCCAGGTTTCGTCACGATGTTTTCCTTCACCGTTTGGCAGTAGTGTCTACATAATCTTAGAAAGTACTACTACTACTGGTACTTGCCGGTCGGTTTCGAACCCGCTCGCTCATGTCGCTCGCTCCCGCTTAACGTTCGAGCCACTACGACTAAGTTCGAAGGATAAGCTCTACTACTCTATTTTCTTAGCTCTTTTCAATCCACTCATAATAAAATGTAATTTAAAGATGAACCAACTTACCATCTAAATTACTCTTGACTACCACACCGTCAGTCAGTATAACAACGCCTGCGTTCTGAAAATAAAGATATCTTCTCGGTTTCCAATACAAATATTAACTTGAATAAGTTTGATTATTATACACAGTGATACGAACTTGACTGCCTCGTTGGCCAAGTGGTCGCAAGTGCAACTGCCGGGCAAGGGGCCTCGGGTTCGATTCCCAGTTCGGGCAAAGTATTACTGGGTTTTTAAAATAATCTTAGTAGTAGTACGGAGTCTGGAATTGTGTCCGGTATATGGCAATAGCCTCACTCCCTATTACATGGGATTCATAACATAAATAATGAAAAGTGGGTGTTACATTGTACATTGGCATAATATGCACCTCTGCCTACACCTTCAGGGATAAAAGGCGTGATGTAATGTTATGATACGAACCTTGAAAACATCGGAAGCAGTGTAGCCACCGAGATCCAAGCCCATCCCGGGGAGATGGTCTTCATTCCTGAATATCGAGTGTGATAGACCATTAAAGCTTTCAACTTCACGTTCGACCTAAAACAAAGTAATTATAAACTACATTTAAAAAAACCGACTTCAAGCCTCTCTTTTTTTTCAATTCGTCCTTCTAAATGTAACAAACATGTTTGTTGAAAACCGCATCAAAATCGGTTCAGTCAATCGTGAGATAATCGCGCACACGGCACAAGTATACACACAAACATACATACGTGCAAACATACATACAGGTCAAAATCAAAACCTCCTTCTTTTTTTGAAGTCAGTTAAATAGAGAATCGGTTTTCATTTTGAACATTTTTTTTATGGCATGTGCCGGTAAACGAGCAAACGGATCACCTGATGGTAAGCAATCGGCGTCGCCCATGGACACCTGGAACACCAGAGGCGTTACCGGCCTTTTGGGGATTAGCAGTTTGAGGATCGTTGGGGATTCAGGAATTGGGGAGATTGGGGAAGGGGAGGGTAATTGGGCCTCCGATAACCTCACTCACACGACGAAACACAACGCAAGCGTTGCTTCACGTCGGTTTTCTGTGAGGCCGTGGTATCACTCCGGTAGAGCCGGCGCATTCGTGCCGAAGCATTACTTTTTCCTCTATATTCAATTTTTTTCTTACAGACTATATGCTACTACGTCTACTATTCTTACTTACAATGTGCATATCAAGTCCATTTCCGAGTCCATTTTGGCTGGCGAGTCCGGCTTGTATAGCTTTGGTGTCTTCAGCCAACAGAGCCACGTATGCGCCTGCGTCGCCTGCCACGCGTAGTTCTACTAAAGTGTTGGGACGAGCGCCCGCGCCACTGCTTGATACAGGAGCTATTGAGATCTGTGTAATAGTCATAGGTTTATTTTATTTTAAAGTTTCATTGAGATTCTTGAAAAGGTTGAAATTAAAATAGCATGTGAATCGTTAATACGCTGCTTCGGTTGCTAAGTGGTTGCAAGTGCGACTGCTGGACAAAGGGTCTTGGGTTCGATTCCCGGGTCGGGCAAAGTATTACTGGGTTTTTTCAACAAAGTCTCTGTAGGTAGTAGCACGGAGTCTGGAACTGTGCCCGGTATATGGTAATAGGCTCACCCCCTGTTACATGGGACTCAACATAAATAGTGAGAAGTGGGAGTTACATTGCACAGTGGCGTTAAGTGGCGCAATGTGCACCTCTGCCTACCTTTCGGGGATAAAAAGGCGTGATATTATGTAATGTTATCAAGTATACTTACATCATTCTGCAGCAAGTTGCCATGCGGTGCGTATACAGCGGCGGCGAGCAAGTTATTGACGTCGAGGCGCGGGTACCAGGCCACCAGCACGCAGCCCGGGGACATGCGTGACGTCACCGGGACCGACACGTCCACGCTGCGGCGCGCCGGGCTCAGCTGTACCGACAGAATTCATTGTTACATATAACATTGCAAGGAAAACAAATAGTTTAATTATGTACGACTGCATGGTTAGCGCGGTGGCTGGGCAACTGGCTGCCGCGCAATGTGTCGCGGCTTCGATTCCCGCACGGAACAACTCTTTGTGTGATGTGGTCCACAGATTGTTGTTCCGGGTCTGGGTATCATATGTATGTGAACTTGTAAGTTTGTAAAATCATCCACGACACAGGAGAAGATTCTAGTGTGGGGCAACGTTTAAAAAAATACTAGTAATATTGTAATGGCAGCAAAAATATAAAATCTTTCGATCTTGTTGTTGGGCCTTTTTTATTAAGGGGGGAAAATCATCGAATGACTGCTCCCGCCTGGGTGAGACGGGAGGGAGTGTCAGACTTTTACTGACTAAAAACCACCTCGTTCCTTCTCCTGCACATTCTACCCGGAGCCCCGGTTACCCGTTACGTTCTCCGCGACTGTTGTTGGGCCTTAGGTCCATAATACAAGTATTGAGTAGTCTTCCTTAAAGGTTAGGAGATGAGTATCGATATAAGGTCATAAAACTCAAGATGCTATGCTACAATTAAAAAAAACTTGATTTTAAAGATCAAAAATGTTTTTATAATATCGATATTTATCGAATACGATAGTTATCGTGAGACATACTAAATTAAGTGAATATACGTGTTATGTTATAAAAGCTCTACTAGTTTCGAACCACAGAGGGGTTCTTCCTCAACTAGTAGAGCTTTTCTCAGTATATTCACGTGAGTAACCCGCGTTTTTACTTGATCAAAAATGTATTTTTTTTTTCATAAAACCAGATATATCTCGAAAGCTTACCTCAACAGTCTTCGCAACAATAATATCTCCTCGTCCAATGACAGCGTAGTGCACCATATCCATAGGTTCGGTGGCAGTGATGCGCGCACGCATCTCGCCTCCGACACCAGTGCCGCGTGTAAGTATCTCCGCCGTCAAGAACTGACCGAACGAATATTCGCTTCTTTGCACGTTCACTATGCGTTCTGTGACTTCCTTGTATTTTACCTGATAGAAAAAAAATTCTAGCGTCAGAAAAAAGTTTCCAATACAACTTTATGAATACTTCAATCTCTCGTAAGAGTCTACTGCTAGATTGGATCTGCTCTTCAAAGAGGTCCATAATCTTCATGCCTGGTAGGAGGATTGGAAACTGCAAAAAGTGTCAGTAAGATACCCACAGAAAGAGTAGAAGTGTAAAGAGTAATTAATTAGTATCACCACACGGCTTCATAGATATTTAAAATGGTTTAAATGCTCTAGAGAGGCGGAAGTTTTGTTTAGCAGTCTCTAAGTTGAAAGATCTATATAGAGGTAAATATCTTGAGAACGGCTGAACCGATTTGGCTAATTTTCGTCTTGAAATGTTCATGGAAGTCCAGAAAAGGTTTAAAAGGTGAGAAAAACTCTTAAACGGTTCGAAGTTTACCTGGTCAGTGCTTTATAAATCTATATTGAGCAAAACCGATAATTCCTTATAAGTAAGTTATTATCTTACCACTAAGTTGAGCGTAGAGTTGACATGAGCTCTATCAGGTACCACGGAGTATGTGGCGATGCCTTTGTTCAGAGTGACGGTGGTGACATTCACTGGAGCCCCGTCGTCCCATAGCCGCTCCACTGTGACGTCGCCTTCTGCAGGCATCACTTGCCCTGATGGGTCTACTACTTCAATCTGGTAAAAGATTTTCACAAATTAAACTATATTTTGAATTCGTAAGGTGACTGGACATTAAAATAACCTGGGTGTGGAGCATTCAAAGAGATCCTGTAGGACTTAAAAATGTAGACAGCTTTTTTGTTGCTTCTGAGATAATGTTTTACGTTTTATATTTATTTAGCAAGCAGTAGAAAAATTATGTCATCTATTCCTAATGCTTGTATCTTCTAAGCGTCATTATTTGCATTTACGTAAAACAAATAAGCCAATATTAAACTTCCGGTTATTTCTAAACAAAAACTTCGTCTGGGCAAAGACTCGTTTAGATAAATATTTGAACTAAAGTGTCATAGAAAAAATGGAGGTTCTGAAAAATGATAAGAGCTTTTATGGCCAGTTCTACCTTACTAGTGGATATGGTATAGGTAACCGAAAGTGAATATCGGTAGACCCTAAACAGTACCTGTACGATATAAGGCAGTGTAGGCTTGAAGTAATTAGGAGCGGTCACTTTTAGTCTATAAGGTGTTCTCAACAGAAGAATTCTATTCGTAATATTCTGTTTGATCAATGTATCTTTCTCTTCAATAACGGCTTCCACGACGAGCGGCCTCGCTGCATCCTCGGCCAAGTCTAGGTCAGTTTTGAGGTCAAATGTAATTTGCGCTTGACCGTTAATGTCCACGACTTTCCTTGTGGGTGCTGCGACAACGGGTTGTAGAACCCCGGAGAAGAAAACTGGGTACGCAGATATCGTAAGTTCACCACGAACTGGAAGTCCATTGAAGTGCCTGAAAATCAATAGTTACCTAATTGTTACCTTAAACTGTCTTTCACTCATCATCGTCATCGCTGCTGAGCAAAGGCTTCTTGTCATACCGAGAAGGAATGAGCATTAATCACTACGCTTGCTTAAGGCGAATTGGCAATTATACTGACTTTACGGTGTAAATAATTCATAGCACTTCCAGATGTGTAGGTCGCGGATGCTAATTAGGTTCTATGAAGCAAGTAACGGCGCTGCCATTCTGATTCAACATGAACAAGTACGGTCAGTAAATAAATAGGTGAGACGCTAAATGTTTCAATGTAAACTAAAAATACATTCGTGCTTATACATAACTGATGTTCAGTAAGGTTTTTATGAAATTATTGCTGCTCGATCGAATTGTACTGATAAAAACTGACAGCGTTGCGTCTACGTCTATAAACAGTTCTTGCTTATTTACGTAATTATTATTCTATTGAATTCGAGTGATGAGTTTTTCTGTACTGTAATGAGAAACGACAGCTTTCGCCGTGGAAATGCCTTTGTTTGGAACGATGAGAAAAGTTCATTCCAGATGATCAAAGAACGTTGTTGTTTTTCACAGCAAATCTCATTAGTTATTATTAGAATGGGTTCTGGAAAAACTCGTTTGAGATGTTTTTCGAGTGTTATTAAAATTCTTCTTTAGGATTATTATGTGACTCTGTGACATAACGTGATCGAAGATCGACACAAGATACTTATTCAAGAACTTGTTTTTGGTAACGATATTCGGACATATCAATCTATTGGACCTGTTGTTTGAATAAATTAAAAACGAAAACTGTGTCCATAGGTATATCTATCGATTCTAAATTGTAGTGAAAACATTGGATTCTCCCAATAGACCTTATAACATCATAACATCACACCTTTTATCCCCGAAGCGGTAGGCAGTGGTGCACATTACGGCACTTAATGCTACTGTACAATGTAACACCTACTTTTCACTATTTATGTTATGAGTCCCATGTGATATGGGGTCGAGCCTATTGCCATATACCAGGCACATGTCCAGAATCCGTGGTATTACTGAGATTTTTTTTAAAAACCCAGTGTTTCATTGCCAGGTCCGAGAATCGAACCCGAGACCCCTTATCCGGCAGTCACACTCGGTCAACGAGGTAGTCACATACCTTATTAGATCATAATATTTAATTAGTAATTACGGTTCTTACTTAGCGGTAACGTTGATGTCAAATCTTCCATCGGTGAACAAGACTTCCTTGGGCATGGTCATCTCCATATGGAACCTTGGCTGTACATAGTCTGCCACCAGCACTCGGCGGGAGTATTTCTGCCCACGGGCCTCCACCTACACCAACACATATATATGTAGGTATCACATATCCAACACCTATCTACAAATAGAAGGTCATACTAACGTGGGCGCTCAGGTTTTTAACTTATAATTTCGAGGCTAATCGCAATTTCCGGACCTGTTCTAGCGAAATCCGTCTAAATTACAAATTAATTGTTTGCTAAGAATGTTCTTTACATGGTCAATTTCAAGATTTGGAATTTGGACAAATTTTTGATTATGTTTTGTATCAGTAGGTACTGTATTGAGTTAAAAATAAAATGTAATTGATGTCAGGAAGGGACAATCAAGATACTGCGTAATTGTTGATTTCCTTCTTAGTTTATGAAGGTACATAATTACATATTCAATTTATTCATACACCTTTAGTTCACAAGTTTGTATTGATGTGGTCTTGTCTCAAATTCAACAGAGACTAAACTTGTACTGCCTGCGTCGACAAAATTGTGAAAAATGAAAGTTTCACGCATGCTTTACTTACAATGTGAAATATCCGAGTTTTTAACTAATTAAGTACCTACTTCTTTCTTTGTTTATTATCATGTTTAGCAGTGCTTTGTTATGCGAGGTTATTAATACAAATATTTAGAAAGCTGTTACCTCATCTTTTCTTCTATAACATACCCACGCAATGAACGAGCCTAGTGCCATAAATTTATAGTACTAAACACATATCGCTAGATTCATTTGAATAAAATTCGTCCTATTTTTGATAGAAGCAATATTACCATTATCCAATATTACCTGTATAGTCCATTCTCCAAGCGCAGGCTCGTCGGCTAAGACCAACTCCTCAGTGAGTACTCCTCGATCCAGTTCAGCACCCGCCCACTGCTTTATAGGAGCCCCGCCAGTATCCAGCACACTGACGTCCACAGTCGTCGACAGAGGCAGCAGGTACCTGCGTACGCGCACAGGTCAACGACCGCTTTGTAATCACACGTAATCTTACGCGAGCTCTCGTGCAGCGATGGCACAGAAATCGAAAGTGTCTTGGTCTTGCGCTTACTATCAAATTCTCGGTAAATAGCGCTTTGTGCCGACATTTTCCTCAACGACTAGTACAAGGGCACAAGTGTCATAGGAAGGTAATAGTAATCAAACAAACTATTGATGTGTTACGCATCGACACTTGTGTTTGTTTTGTTTTATTGTTAAGATAATTACTATCATGGCCTCTAGTAATTTAATTATCGAAGTTTCGACAGTGATATTGGAATAACAAATTAATGAAATGTTAAGGGGTATACTTAATCCCCGGTCTCTTACATTCAGGACAATAATGGTATGGACAGTACTTAACTGCAGTTATTACCCAATATATACGTAATAGAAATAGCGGTACACTCAGTGATAAAATCGATCATGCACTATAAATCGGTCAAGTTATTTTACAGCGCTATCACAGCAAAGGAATCTTTAAAGTTAATTAAACTAAGTTAATTAGAAGCAAGTTATAAAATAAATCTTACTTGTCCAAGGCGATGACCCTAAAGTTAATGGTGTCTTTGGGTTGGTAGACTCGTTTATCGGTTTGTACGAAGATGGCGAAACTGCGCGGTTGGTAGAACAACGGTGACGACGAGGAGAATAGCGGGCCTGAGGTTGACCGCGCTACCAGCGAGTACTGCCCCGGACCAGGGTCACCGATCTGCATTCAGGTGCAACTGATTTAGTCACGTCCAATTACGGGAGATTCACTTATAAAGCAACTGTCTGTCGTATATTTAACAGTTTTAACTGATAGTGCCAAATGGTTTCGTAATCGTAAATCAGGTGCTATGCTGTCTCAGAAAGATTAAAACATAATGTTCACATCACGTAAGAAAATCGAACATAATGTTCTCAATTTACTTCATTATTTTCCTTCTTGCTGCAAGCTCATAATTTTATTCTAAGGTAGAGGCTGCCAACCCATCAGTTATCTATCGACTTATACGACTTAGGTTACGAGTTCAAATCGTGGTAATGAAACATTCATTATCTGAGGTAATAAAACTTCACCATCCATAGCTCGAAATGCTGAATATATCCATATCGTGAGAAAACTGGCACCTACGCATGCCCTAGAAAGCATGCATTTCGAAGGTTGCATTCACCAATCGAACTATTACTGAAATGTTATAGCAACTTGTTTTACAGCCTTATGGAAATAGTCTCTAGATGTTACAAATTCATTTTTTTATACATTTGCCTTCAAAAAAATGAATTACGAAGACAACGACATTGTTATCACTTGATCTGATAGGAGAAAGACCTAGGGAATTAAATAGGAACACTTACTTCAAGTTCTATAAGCCTGGTGGCAGCAGCAGGGACCTGTACTTCTCGCCCCTTTGTGAACTGCTCTCCATTGGCTCGTCGTCCTTCCACGGCTACATACAGAGTATATGCTCTGGAGCCCCCTGCTATGGCTACTGTGTATGAATTGAAGGGCCGTAGCACTTGTGGACCTAGCACTGATATACTGTGGAGTTTACAAACAAACATAAATTACATTTTGTCTTAATATTATTGCAATGTTCTCGCATGTCAGATGCATAAATACGTTGGATCCTAAATAAGCAAACATCGTAACCAGAGGTATTTTTTTTTGAGGGTGTAATATCATCCAATGCCTTAATTTTCATTTTCATGTCATACTCTTATGAGGTGAATTTTGGGTCATGGGATAAAAGTATAAAGTTATAGAAGTTTCGTTGAAAACATTTTTTTTATTAATTTCTCGACTAGATGCGGCTAGTAATAATGCACATTTATTTATGGTTAAGGTTACAATACATGCATCTACGTGTTGGTACCTGTGTCATCATTTACTACAAACTATTTTGCTGTAGTAGTGCATACAACACTCTGCCAATAACGGCACCTCACACCGTACGTACTACTAATCTGTTTGGTCTTTACGGGTCCTAGAAAGCACGGAATACTTGCTCTACATAAATTATAATGACTGCCTTACTGAGTAAGACTGTTACAAAAGTAATTTTGAATATATTATAACTTTAAAATTCTTACTTTTTTCTCTTTAATTTACGGTTATCCCGTAATTATCTGTTTGTCGAGGGGCAAAAATGGCTTTCAATCTTTGTCTTTGTTTTTCGCGTTCGAGAAAAATTGAGATATTTTATTGTATAGCTATTCGTCAATCCAGGTAAAAAAATGAAATGAAAATGTGTTGCCGAGCTTGAGAACTATTCTAGCAAACTGAATTTATTTTTTAAAGTCTGCAATTGCCAATGACAAGAAAAAGGAAAATTTTAGCAAATTCATCGGGAAAGTGGGAATTTAAGTAGTAGGGAAAGTAAGTATCTAAACGAACCTAAAGGTTTACAATTTCAACTTTCTGCGTGTATAGGTAAAAGGTATGCAGTACTTATGGTATAAAAACATCTTCATTTAACCTTATATTATAAATATTGATGTTACACGTATATTATGTAGATTTAAAAATAAAAATAGTACGTACCATTGTACAAGGAGTGGCGCTGTCAGTGCTACCAAGAAGTAGTATAGCATTAATTTATGAGTCATCTTTCTGAAATTAAACATGAATAATAAGAACTATGTGATACGTAATAAAGATTAAATCAAATATCTTGCTATTGTTTCTTGGTGTGTTCGTAACTCAGTCCAACAAAAAAGGGTTGTTATTAACGAATTGTTTACGACACTGAAATCTTTAAGATTAATTATGTTCTCTGTACTTACATACTTATTCATCCCACAGTACGAGTACGCTCGGTTAATTTCGTGCTGTCTCAGAATCAATACCTAAATAATAATATAGGTTTACGATTTGATTTATTTATTTATCGTGTGTACGCGAAAATTGTATTGTTTTATGGTATATTTTGTAATTTTCTATTAATACACAAACAAGAATGCTGAAGACCAATTCAATTTCTTTAAAACTAAGTCTTCTGTCTTTAAAGATAAATAAGTAGTAGTAAATGACATATTCTTCATTAAAAAAATAAGATTATATTTTATATAGGTAGGTTGATACTTTATAATTAAATTCGATACATTACTTTAAAAAAAAATCTCAGTAGTAGCACGGAGTTTGGAATAGTGCTCGATATATGGCACTCGGCTCACTCCCTATTCCATGGGACTCATAACATAAATAGTGAAAAGTGGGTGTTACATTGATTGTACAGTGGCATATTAGAAACTACGTAAAGAAAAAAGGAAAAACCAAAACCATCTTGGTTTTAAATTCTAATTCACAGATTTAAATAAACCACAAAGAGCATTTTTCCTTACCTAAATCTTATTCTCAAGAAAATTTTCATTGAAATATTATTAAACAAAACATCGTTTAATGATTTGCGAATAACTCGAGTTTGTTATTAACTTCCTACGCTTGTTTACGTTACCATGAAGGGGATCTTAACACAACAGCCTTCTGAATGGTCACGCTCTATATGGTCGGCTATAAAATTGGTCTCCATTCATGTAGCTAACATTAATACATAACATATTTACACACATGTATTCAGTATTAATGTTAAGTTAATAATTGTTTGGTTGGTATCAAATTTAAATGTATATGAGAAACCTTCATGACTTTATTGTAAAAAAAGTTACAAGTGTCACTGCAAGGCAAGGGGTCTCGGGTTCGATTCCCGGGTCGGGCAAAGTATTACTGGTTTTTTTAAGAATTCTCAGTAGTAGCACGGGGTCTGGAATTGTGCCCGGTATATGGCAATAGATTCACCCCCTATTACATGGGACTCATAACATAAATAGTGAAAAGTGGGTGTTACATTGAACAGTAGCATTCAAGTGCCGTAATGTGCACCTCTGCCTATCCCTCGGAGGATAATAGGCGTGTTGTTATGTTTTGTTATATTTATTGTAAAAAAAAATATGTAGGTACCTAGATTAGTTTACAATATTGTGCTAATATCTGTGTAAGTTTCTTTTTGTTTCTATTTACGAGTATTTATACACGTTTGTGATGTCACCTTTAAATAGAGTATGGTATGTTGCAACTTATTAACATAATATTCTATGAGTAAGTACTGAATCGTGGGCGAACTGTTAGTTACGAATCATGAATGTATTTGTATAGAATTCACATATTTGTCATACATATGTGCAAAAGAGATGTCCTTGCGTTGTTTCTGACTCACTTTGTCAACAGTTGTGTGGGCGGAACAACCTTTTATCCGATATGGTGAAACACAGCTTATTTCGTAGAAGAAATCGCCCCAAAACAACTATGACAGATTGCTGTATTTATCTACGGTTAAAATCGGCGTTTAACTTTTAGACACGGTGCTTTATATCCGTGAAGACTTTACATGACAAAATGAGTGTATTGTGGTAAAAACTTTCTCTAGGCTCGCGACAGTACCGAGTTGTGCAGTGTTTACCTCCTCAGGCAACAAAACAATCGCTGCAATAATGTTACGGACTAAGTGCGTGACTGTACATCGTGTCCACCTACCTTAAGCAGCACTAAATAATCATAAAATTACCTTTAAGGACAAAACATGGGTTTGCAATATATATTACTACTGTCCGCATAAAAATATTACAACTTGATGTCATTTAAAATCTCGACATTCAACATGATGTATAAAAATAGAGATTACGTACACACCAAATTATATGCACCTTATTGAACTTTAACAAAGCTCACCTTTTGGACACTATAGTCACTTGTATCACTTAATTAAATAAAACTTATCACTATATCACAGATCGTTTGATTCGGGTGCACATAGTTTGTGTAGCGTGACGGCGCGACACAGGTCGGCGCGGGGTGCACTGTACAACTAACAATAAGTGTTGCGGAGTGAGGCAGCGGCGCCTACGCACGCGGGTGGGGCGCCGCGAAGCCTTGCGAAAATTCACCGCCGTACCTGCGTCTGCGCAGTGCACCTACTCACACTGCGACGTAACTGCAGGTTTCTTTATTGATGCCAAAACGTTAAGTGATACAACGAGCTCATGCTTTCGTATTTGTTTTGGTTATTAGCTTCTATACCCTCAATGGTAGAGTTTCCAACGACCTTTCAAATAGCCGAATTCAATAAACGTAGTCACTATGTTATGAATAAAACCATACAATACAATACAATCAACTTTTTAAAGTAAAAAAATATTATATTAAATTAGTTGTAATCATATTTAAAGTTAAATCAGTTAGAGTTTGTTTTAGAAGGTACTGCAATAAGTGAATTTATTAGGGAAGACAATTTATTTTTTATTAAGGAATATTCCTATTACTTTACACTATGTTACGAATATTATTTAAAGCAACAGAACCTTTCACCTAAAAGTACCCAGTATATCTAACAACCACAGTATTTGCGCGCAAATGGCCTACTAACGCATGCAAATTTATAGAAATCAACGATCGTATTTTAAAGGTAAATATTGCATCAATTTCTACGCTTAGTTGGGTTCAGTAAATTTAATTTATTTTTTAACATAACAACAGGTTGTTTATCACGTACAGGACGCATACATCTCAGATGGTCGATATGTTAGAGAAGCTCGATGCGAGTTGAGTGCAGTGCATTCCTAGGAACCAGTTTTAGTGCAACACTCCATAATAATCGCTTAGACAGACAGAGTTAGAAACACTATTCAAGCATATAAATGCTTTCATTGTTTGCGACTGGTCACAATACCATGCGTCTACCATGTAGGTGCATGAGTGGATAGGCATGTAAGCACAGTGATAAAATGTGTACTTGTGTAAAGAAGAGAAGGTGAAAGTAGGATCGAAGAATTTAATTTATTTAACGGTACAACATAAGTTTTCAAAGATTGGTCTAACATTGACATAATAAAAAACGTCTGTTTATAAAAAAAGATTTAATTGACCGTCTACATTTTTTGTGTACTGTATGAAAAGCTAAATTCCGTTACGTGAACAAAATAGTGAGGAATCTAGCTACACGAAACAGGTCGGACCGAAAGCGTAGCATTCGAGGAAAGGACAACACGACCTCTAAATTTTGGACATGCAACTCGCGATTTTAAAACCTGTTCGCGTATCAAAATTTTAGCTCTGGCTTCTCCCACATCATTGTTTTCTAATGAAGTCTGGCTGCCTTCTAACTACGTATAATATTGTATTACTAAATATCTTATATCCTACACATGTACCAACGTTTTTTGTACCTGTCTCAGTGAGATATTAATCATCCTTGCGTATCGGAGCAATGATGACATATTCTCATTACGTAACCTGCTAAGTAGTTCCACGAGGCTTGACAAGTTACTTCATAACTTATACTTGTTACATTCTTTACAGTCATAAGGACAAGTAGTAGAAAGCAACCGTAAACCTCGTTATAGCTAAATTATTCTGCTAAGAATGAATCTATGGGACAAATGTTAGTAGTAGCAGATTCTGGTGGTGTGGAAGTCTTATTAGCTTCATCAGTGTTATCCATATTGTTGATACGTGCAGCCAAAGTAGCATTGTCAGCTAAAGCTGCTGCCAAAGCCTTTTCAAGTTTTGCTGCACCAGCTCGCTCGGCTTCCAGAGCAGCTCGTGTCTCAACTAGAGCTTCAATATCAGGATCAACCGTTTTCTTAGTTGGATTATCACTTATTTCAGCCAACTGTAGTTCTAGTTCGGCGACAGTGGCTTTAAGCTTACTTATTTCCGCTGTGGCAAAAGAAAATTTCAATGTTTTATGTGCGTAAATACTGTAAATTATGGATATTATTTGGTCACTTACTGTTAGCAGCTACTAGTTCTTTGTTAGTATGTTGTAGCTCTGCAGCAGCGAGGCGCCTCTCTCGGGCATGTGCTGCAGCGGCCAAACGTGCTCGTTCTCGTATTTCAGAACCAGCAGCTGCGCATTTTTCTACCCTTCGAAGTTCGCTCTCGAGGCGAGTTGATTCCCTAATTACATGAAGTCAGTAGCTAATTAATTTAATGTTACAATCTCCTATAAGCTACAAATTAATTGTTCGAACACTTGATTTCTATCTATTATGGCGATTTGGCAACATTGTATGTCATCCTGTAAGTGTCTTGGTAATAATATTTACTCACCTTCGTGCTTCTTCTGTTGCTTTGCAGATGCGCTCCTGTAGTTCAGTATACTGTCGCTGAAGAGTTGTATGAGCTGATTGCAAAGGCTTCAGTTGCTGAACTTGCCTCTCTAGTGAGCCAATCTGCCCCGTCATTTCGCCACATCGATCTTCTAAAAGCTTTCGCTGCCTCTCCTAATAAACGTAGACATAGGCATGTATGTAGGTGGTAGTTTAGTGGTTTATTATTAAAATTATGACGTAACTATATAGCTTAGGTGATAGACGTTACATCATTTGAAGGCCTAGTTTTAATATTACTGGTTAAATTTTCGTTATATTATCTAGAGGATTTCATTAATTTGGCTTATTTTTCATACTTTAAGTCAGAACCTGTGTAATTTTAGGCTAATATTAACTTAATATAGTGGTAAAACTAACCGTTGTTAAATATACGTAATCATCCTAAGAAATGCGTAGTCTGATATATTTTTAAGGTGGTCGACCAGTGGATTAGTGACTACTTACTTATTTTAATCCAAAAACTCTTGCATAACTTAGATTGAATCAATAGTTTTGGTTGTTACGGCTAGGTATTCAATAGTTTGGTATAGCATGACCTTGGAGATAACTAAAAAAACTTAAAACATCATATTGAAAAAATTACAACGTAGCATTTGATGATTAGAGATTAGATCAATATGTACCGAGACTTAATTATGTTACTTCTACGTCTATCATTTTGCAACGTAGCATGATAGCATGATGTTGCACTTAATCGATTCTAAGAATTATTTTAAGAAACAACGATAGGCTCCATTAGGACTCAGGACTAGAGGCATAATAATGTATTCAAAATTTGTGGGTAATATTTTTGAAGGATTCTATAAGAAATTGAATTGTAAGCACTTAAGTATACTACGGAGCCGCGGAGAACTTAACGGGTTGCGGGGGCTTTGCCTCGAAAAGAAGTAGAAAAGGCGTGGTTTTTAGTCAGTAAGTGATAGAAATTTCGGAGGAAGCCATTGGATGATTTTCACCCTTCAAAAACAATAACGAAAAAAAAAACTTATATAGAGCGTATTTGTAGTTCAAGGCACTAAATAATTATCGCTTACAGATCAATACACGATGTATGGCCGATTGTTTTCAACACCTGAGAATATTCTCACATCATGATATAAAAGAAGAAATAAGAAAGCGTGTATAATGTGTATCGCGACACTGGTAATCCACTAGATAATGAAACCTTTCTTTCATTGATCAGTTACAAAAACTAATTCAAGATGCGTATACTAGATAGACTCTTATGATAAAAAAGATGTAGTTCTAACATTATGTTATTATTATTATCTTTGTTAACACCTAAGTTAATGCAAATACATATTCATTACATAACATTACGCCTTTTATCCTTGAAGGGGTAGGCAGAGGTGCTTAATGCCACTGTACAAAGTAACAGCCACTTTTCACTATTTATGTTATCTCGACGACCTCTTACAGAAACGAATACTTTCGACGATATATTGGTTTGAAATGTCGCGTGACGTCACTTCTATGTACATTTTATACGTAGAAATGACGTTTTAGCCCCCACTCCTAAACTTTGAACATTAATTATAAAATCAGAGGGGACATGTTAGAGACTTTTGCCCAAATACTGAAACGTTACTCAATTAATTAGATTCTGGTTAAGTCGCGCTTAACCGTAGTTCTGTCTCTACAAATTCTTTGTAAAATGACAGAGACAGCACGATATTTAAGATATTTAGATCATTATACCTATAATCAAAGGTTAGGGACCATCTGAGGTATGACCAGACAAAGAGTTCATCTAATACATTTTTGTGTGAGAATTTATGATAATGAGTAGTCAGATCAAAGATTACTAGGTACCTATATACTAGTACTTTAGGGATGGAAATTAACTTGCTTTAAATATTGCAGTAGAGAAAATAAAATTGTTGAACTAACCGTTAAATCCAGGTGCATTTTGAGTCCTGTGACATGTTCTTGGGAGCTGGCTAGTGCGCTGGAGGCCTTGGCGACCGCAGCGGTGGCGGCGGCTGCTCCGTTGCGGGCCTCCGTAGCCGCCCGCTCAGCGGCTGCCCGCGCCGCCTCCGCAGCCTCAGCGCGAGTAGACTCCGTGCGTACCGATTCTCGAAGACGACTTTCGGAAATCTATATTTTTTTTATGTAATGTTTCAGAGATTTTCATTTTTCAACTTATTTTAAAGACGAAATTAGCGTGAAAGAGTAACTCACTGTTAGAGTCCTAAACTCTCCAATCAGTTCCAAAAATTGTTCTTCCAATGTTTCAAATTCAGTCGTAGCTCCCATTTTAATAAATAAAATAAAATTGGTAGTTAATAATTTAAAAAACACGTTCTAAAGACGTAAAAAGCGCGGGTTTATTATTTTGTTCTCTTTTCAAACCGTTTACCAAAGAGCAATTTTTTTTAAATATTTTTTTTGTTGTTCGTTTAATTTGGTTAAAATTTATTTGAATACGGACAAAAAAATTATATTATTACATTACTTAAATTACAATCACTGTAATTTATGTAAATTACAGTGATTGTAATTAAAAAATTGTATTTAAAAAAAAAAAATATAGTTATGTCCTTAATATGTATTAAGGACATAACTATATTTTTTTAGCTCACATTAATTCTCTAGGTAGGGTTTATAAACAATTAATAAAAACTAAACACAGAGATTACAGTGCAAAAAAAGCAATTTGTAAGTATGTAAGCTTTATGGCATGTGTCTATTTTCGATTTTCAAATTTCTCTAAATTAGGAAATATTCTGGACGACACGTGATTATCCGTGTAGACTGTGAAACTTTGTAGGTATGGGTACCTAGTTGATATTAAGAAATAGGCTCACTAATATTACACTGGATCAAAGCTAATTTGTTACTGGCGTGAGTACAAACTGCACAACGTAATTTTGTTTTTAATCTGTAAATTTCGTTCAACACAAAGAAAAGGAAAATGATTATGAAAAATATTTCCAGAGCAGTAATAGAATCAATTTACGTGGTTATGATAATTGAAATCTGTCAATTACTATCTTCAGTATTTTATAAGGGCAGACAGGATCTGAGGGGAATATTAAAGAAGGGGTGATGTTTTTCTTCGAGAGCAATCGGTATATAAAGGAGGGCTGATGTTTTGTACCACCATTCCTTATCTTGCTGGGCACTGATTGGTAAGTTGCGTTTGTACTTGCATTTTGTTCTTATTTCAATAAAATGTTCTTTATTTAAACTAAGATATTCTAGGAATTCTCATGTCCAACTATTCGAAGAAAATGTTCGTGCTCGTGACCACATATTATCTACATATCTGTTTTAAGGAGTTAAGAGTTACCTAATTACTTAGACAGATTCATAAAAATTTTAAATGATAAATTACTTGTCTTATCCCAGACCCCCTATAATCTCTGGCGTTTTGGAACACCTTGCTTTTATTTATAAAAAAAAATATTATGTAGGTATTACTGACATTACGACTGCTCATATTTATTTTCCAAAAAATATGTTTGATTAACTCGTCGAGTACCGGTTTTATAGACACAATTAAAGAACAATGGGTCGCGGTCACCGGTGACCGCTTGGTATTTGACAGTTTAAGACCATGATAACTTTATTTTATAGAGCCAGACATCATTCAAAATGCGGTTGGTGACTATCGTTGCGATGGCAATCACGGTGGCGTTGTCGATGTTGGTGCATTGCTACGAAGGCGCCAATCTTCGGGGCTTCGCCCTTCCTGAGGAGGATGAAGAGTTCAGGCACAGGCCTCTGTACCGGGACTACAGTTTGATCAGGAGGGCAGCTCGGGCTGATGACGCCTTTGATGACTATGGCCATCTTCGATTCGGTCGGTCTGACGACTGACCCAAGCGTACTTCTCATAAACGACATCTGCCCTCACAGCACAGAGATCGATCCTCAGACAAATCATGTATCTAATTTTATTCTCAAATGTTAATTAGCGGATAATGCTTCCTACTAATTAATAAATAATTAAAGAATTTAGAATTGTAGATAATATATTTTTCTGATATTAAATCTATGGTCTATGTAAGGTTATCGTAAAATTAAATTATTCTGTTCTAATGTTGATGTTAATTTCTTTCGAAGTCCTGTGAAATATTATTGGCTGGTTAAATATTTCACGGTGACTTATAATATTATAGCATAAAATGAGAATGAATTTTTTTGTCTACTTAATAATAAAATAAATTATTACAAGCTTTGTATTTATTCACATTTCACCGGAAAATGTAGTTTCATTTAATTTTAAAACAATAACTTTGTTAATCTTATCCTTATTAAAATATCGTATGTATTTAGGAACTTATTATACCTTAACATAAGCAAAATAAAACACATGAGATTATTTCCATGAGTATATTATTACCCAATAAATACATTTGACAACAGTTATAATTATAATAAAATGTGTTATAATGTTTATTACCGTCACACACTTGCGTTGTAATGACGAACATTAACGAACCTTAGGTATTCTTTTATTTATTTTAAGGCATTTTTAAACTCATAAACCATGTCTACTATTAACCGCTTGAATGCCTGTATGTGACAATAGAAAATACATTGTGTTTCGCGTGGATCCACTTTTAGACACACGACGGGTTAAATGGAAATATGATGGAAATTATAGCCCTTGATTTCTTAAACTCAGCAATTTAATGTTAACGCAATGATTGATTTCTTATAAGTAATATAAGCCTTGTATGCACGAATGATTGAAGTCATTAAGATGTATTAAAGCTGCATTCGATTTACATTTGTACATGTGACAATGGACTTGAGAAGTGAAACAATTATTATTTATAGATCATCTATCCACAGTTCATACAAGCTTTGCACTATGCTTTTTACTCATTTCGTTGTACCTGTTACTGCCTTCGTTAATTGACCTTGTTTAAAACACATAAGGGACTTCTTAGCATGCTCTGGATTTAGTTTATAAATCTAATATTCATTAGGCACACGTAATATCACTACTCTATATTAAATAATATGAGACTAGTTAGTTACTTCCCTAATCTAAGTTATAATTTATATTTATATTATGTATGCAGTAAGTCCTAACACATATTGTATGGTTAATGTTGTACTTGGTGAAAATGAAGCGTATCGTGGCGAACATTCTGAAGTGAATTATTTAATAATATAGAGAGTAAACGAAACGCTCTCGAAACAGGGTGACAAACAAATTTAATCGATTTTGTTTACGTGTAACATTATAGACACAATTAAAGTACAATTGGTTGCGGTCACCGGTGACCGTGCGGTGTTTGACAGTTTAATAAAAGAAACATTTGATTCCTTATATAAATCAAAACAAATCTTGTTTTGTCTTGCCCAACGTTTTTCGGATGTGTTCCGATTACACCTGTATTGACTTACACAAAGATAAAGTAAACCAAGTTTATTATTGATTGTACAGTTTATAGAATGCGAAGATAAATTAAACTCCTATGTTACATGACGTCACAGTTTTTACATTTCATTCTTAGTTTTTGTGTTTAACACTTTACAGTTTGTGAGTATTTCTTAACGCCAATATCCAACGACTGCCGTCTTCTCACTTAGATGATGTCCTTTTTCTGTGAGCTTCCCAACAGAGCCTGTTAAAAGAAAATTTGAAATTATACATACCATACACAAACGAATTTTCCGGAAATAAATATTTGTATTATAACTTTCGTGAGACATAATAATTATTATGTTTTCGGCTTACGCAGCGCGACAGTCGCCGCGTCGCAGGTCGCGATATGCTGCTCATGAATATGAGCCTCTAGCATGGCTTGAAACTAGTCGAGTTCCTCGTCAAATAATTATGTGAGTAAGCCGAAAACATAATAATTGATGAATAAATATAGCTACGTCCGCACGATTTCACCCGCTCTTCCCGGCTCCTAAGTCAAAGTCAAAGTGAAAATCTTTTATTTCAATTAGATCAGGAACGCACTTTTAAACGTCAAAACTAAATGTTGAAATATTTAAAAAAGTCAGTCTGTCGAGCAGTCCTATTAATGGTAGCGTGATATTTTAAAGCCTACCTCGACTATCCAACACAAAAATATTTTTTTAAATTGGTCCAGTATTTTCTGAAATTAGCGCGTTCAAAACAAACAAACTAACCCTTTAGTCTTATATAATAGAGGTAGTATAAGATAATGAATTTTCCTGGGTAGGATACATTAATATCCCCCTGGAAGTATTTGAGGAGCCTCTCGCAAAAATAGAAAATCACTTGTATACCCTCTGCCTACTCCTTCTGGGATAAAAGGCGTGATGTTATGTTATGTTACTTGTCCTGTATTTTTTATATTTTTTGATTGGATTCTAGGTAGATAAGTATTAATTAAAGTCACAAAGCTTGTACCTTGTTAACAAAGTTAACAATAGCCGTAGCTGGTTGTTCGGGCTCCAGTTCCGCGAACACGTGGCATTGGTTGTCAGCACTCGATGACGCACGAGCCACGAAAGCGAATATTCGTCTGCAAAAGAAGAAGATAGAAGAATAAGTTACCGAGTTTTATTTTTTTAAATCCTATTTGTAGCACGGAGTCTGGAATTGTGCCCGGTATATGGAAATAGATTCACCCCCTATTACATGGGACTTATAACATAAATAGTGAAAAGTGGGTGTTGCATTATACAGTGCACCTCTGCCTACTGCTTCGGGGATTAAAGGCGTGATGTTATGTTATGTTACATGTTTAAAAAAGTAGTTGAAAGTTTTTGAAGTATTATTTTAAGATTTACCGGTTGGTCTATTGTTAAACCCAAACTAACCTTGCAAATAATTTTAACATAATAAACACATTCGACAAGTTACGATGCAAGAGACACCTTGAAGCTGTCTCTTCTTCTTCAGATCCATTTGATTAGGATTCCAAACCAACGCAAATAATAAGATTTGCAACCAATTTTCAATATAGCCGTTTACTTTTTGATAATGGACGTTATTTAGCACAATAAGTACTTACTTTTCCAACTGTGTATTGTTGTCTGTGTGTGTGTATCTCCTCTCATCAGGATCGAGTCCCGCGTATGAGACGCCGGTGGCAGGGTAGTGTCTTCTGAAGAACAGCTTGCGAGCTGCGTCCGTTAGTGTGATACCACCGCCGAATACTTTGAAGTGCACTACATGTGCTGGAGCCTGCAGAGAGGGTTAAAATAGAAGGTTATTTCTGGTTAGCATCCATTTTAAAGATAAATTGGCGATATCTCCTGTATCCCTATAATTAATCCCTCTATCATCAACCACGTCTTGGCTTACTACTAAGCGAGATGGTGGCCAAAAGTCAACCTATTAAGTATAAAATAAAATCATAGGTTCTGATATTTCTGAACGAGGGACAGATTACCTATGCGATGTTTTACATAACGGATACCGGCACTGACCGGACATCAATTAAAAAAACAATCCTATAGAATTTATAATAATTTTAATTAGTGTATACTCTTCAATATGAGTCTGTGAAGCCTGAATAAATGGATAAATAAATAAAAAAATAGATCGAAAATTGTAAGGAAAATTCGAATAGCAGATGGTTTTTCAATATAATTATTGAATACTGACCTTCTTATTAAGGATATTGGTGACAGCCCTCTTGACGGCAGCGGGTCCAGTCAAAGCTTCAGTATTCTCAGATCCGAGCAATAACACGTGGCACGCTGCGCCGGTCGCTAGGAGCGCTCTAGCGGCTGCATTCGCACTGCCACCAGTCCACGGATCCCTATGAAGAAGCAATAAAGAAGTAAAAACCTATACTTTATTTCTTAATTATAACAAAATTAAACAAAAAGGCAAATGTATGTTTATACAGTACTAGGAGAAAAGAAGATTCAGCAACCTGATAATCATGAAGAGCGCTAAGATTTTTATGGTAAAACTAAATAGAGGATGTTCATCAGCATATCAACTTTGGTACTTTAACTCACCTATCAGGTAATCGTAGTGGCACAGGCAGAGCTAGTGGCGTCACAGTATGTTGGTACACCAGTGCAGAGAGTGAACTGAAGACTGGTTCATCAGGACAGCCTCGCAAACGTACACCTCGAGCTGTAGGCTCAATGAGGAAGTGCCTCACTCCTCCCGCGCCTCCCGCTCGCACTGCTAAACCGAATGCTCCCGGGAACGAGTTGGAATCACGCACTATGAAGGCTCCCTCTTCCAGTAGCAGTAACGCTGATACCGCTATGGACAATAATTACTTTTCTAGAGAATATCACAAACACATTTTTTGCGGATATGGGTAAAAAGAGATGTTTAAGTCAAAGTTTAGTAGAGCCACGATAGTATCGATCGAACTGATCTTTTTTTTTCATTAAAACTCGAAGGACAACTTGTTCCAGTAAATTATTGACATAGGATTTAACTGGTACTCATCTGAATAAGTGAATAAATGCTTAGTAAAATGGTAATGGGATCGGTCCCATTAACAAGTTATTAGTGTAACTAGGACTTCCAAATGTTTTTAAATGTCGTGGGTACTTTTGTTAGCACTTACCATCATCTCTGGAGATGTTAGGCTTGTACCAATAGTGACTGGTATCTCTCGCAAACCTCACTCGGTCTGGAGCAACGTGTTGAGGTTCTGCGGTCCCACTGACGCTGGAGCGACGAGACCCACTGCTGCCATTGTAGATGCGGTACTCCGATTCAGGACTTATTTCACGTTCTTTTCTACAAGTTGAACGCGTTCTAAGTAAAGGTTTAAAGGAAACTAATAGACTAATATTAGTTACATCAGCGTCTTGACACTTGTTATCACTTACACGTGACAAGGGATAGTAGGGTCTATATAGTATGTTATTACTCTGTTAAGGCACTAATACTTAATTAGAAAACAAAAGGGCTAATCTAAGATTAATAACAAATCTCCTTCTGGAATTTTTTTTTGCTGCCGATTGTCAGCGCCTATGTTATTCTATACCTCATGTCCTCCAGGTCAAACATATTGTACCTGGTCACGGAGGGCGAGCGTGGAGGGCGAGCAGACAGTGAGGGCGTCGGCGTCGGAGGGTAGGGGGTGCGCGGGTGAGTGGGGAACGCCGGAGTGCCTGCTCGGGACTCCGTGCGGGACTCCGCGCGGGACCAACTCTCAACGCGGTCCTGGAAATACAAGGATACATTATAGCCTCACCTGTAAGTTAAGTACAGGAAACTTTAAACCTGAACTTAGGTATTCTCAAATACTTACAACAGTATCATTGTTAGAAGGCTCCGCTAACGACAGTAATCCAGGCGCGGGAGTACTATTTGGTGTGCTTGTCGTACTCCACTCGCGCATCGTCATCTTTTCGTACATAAACTTTCTAGATGAGGTTCTGCAAATATAACAATAACCATTCTTAAAGAGAAAATATTGCAAAGCGGTTACCAATCAGCCGGTAAGCGAAAACCAACAAACACTACACATGCATTATTGTCAATCGAACACTGTTTTAATTGAACAAAATAATATTTATTAGAACGATTAAGTATTTAAACTATTTAAGTAACAGGTTCACAATTTCTGTAGCACCAACTTTATCACCACCTACCTAGTAATTTATGCTAATTGACTTGAAAGTGATAGCCAGTTTAGGTGGCGAAATATTCAAGTAAGCGGAACCTCAAAATAAACGCTATTTTATACCTGTCTGGAGCTTGTGGACTGGTGTGATCAGTCCTGAGAGGGGTGCGCGTGTTGACGTGAAGGGGCACGCTGAAGTCCTCGTCATCATCAGCGAATGCAGTCGTATCACTTGTGTAGCCATCCACTCTAGAAATGGCAAAAGATTTTCAATAAGAAGTATGTCAATATTTATAACTTTGATTATCACTTAAAGAACAAGATCTAAGTTAGGTACTGCTTGGATTTATTCAGTGACTATAATTGGTGTGTGAACTTTTCGGTTGACTAAGTCAAGGATCTATATCTCACCGATGGCTGGCGGAGCGGCGCACATGTCGGGAAGAAGTAGTATCCCACTCGAGCGGTAGTCGAGCGACTCTCTCCCTGGCCTCCTTCCTCTCTCTTAGTTTCTGTTGCTGTCGTTGTAACCACGTGAGCCCTGAGCTTCCTTCGACACTGCTCTCAGAGCGGCGTGGCTCTCGAGCTCGAGAACTCTCGTGCCAGCCCAGGGTACTCGCTGATCGCCACGTTCCATTTTCGGGCGGTGTCTTCCGTACTGTAGCGGCGCTTGCAGGCCGTTCCGCCCATTCTACTTCACCATTCAACCATCTGCTGACAAATTATTTTATGGTTAACTACAGTTCACAAGTAGGTGGGTACTTCAGTTGTCTCGTTAAAATATTCGGACGGAAACTTAAAATGGGTTCTGTTAGTATTGGTTTGTTTTCTATATCTAATGAGCTTCTTTTGAGCCGCTTTAGGTATTAGTTTCTGCATATTAACTTTAGAATACAACCTTAATACTCCGGATGTGACCGTTTAACAATCTCGAGATTTTAACGAAAAATGAACAAAATATTTTGTCACAGTACCTACATACTCTGTTTGTTATCTTTATAACTTGTTTTTTTTTATTTGCGTGTAGGACTTGAAGGTCCGCGTGATCTTATTATGGCAATGGGAAACCTTGTAGGTATCCACATGCTAAGAATCTTTAAATAGTGGGTGTTTGTTTCAAACTATGGATAACTAATAATAGTAAATGAATTATATTTGAATACTAATCATCTTCCGCTCAATGTAAAGTGGATACAATCAATGGACTTGTTTTTATTTAAGTATTCATTAAATGCTATGCTAGCTCCCGGATGTGTTCTGGTATACAATTGGAGCAGATTGACAGTTATAGCACATGTTTTTAACAGAACCTTAACTGTTTTAATGAACAAGGAAGCAAAAGGGCCTAACAAAGCGGGCTTTAATAGAAAGTAAATAGTGTCTCGTGAGGCGGTATGGCGGTGAGGCGTCGCAGTGTCGTGGCCCGGTCGACACCCGCCCGTTTATGGCCACGTATAACTCGAAATAGTAACTTGTTTGGGTCATGGCACGACGCAATCACACACCATCGCTCCAAATCAAATCGAGAATTGCGAGTCGACAGTCGACATCGCTTTCCGACGTGCGCCTATGTATGGCGACGTGTACAACTGCTCGATTACATTTGTTGATCATTACATAAAGCTGACGTGACCAATTACATGTTGACGAGATGTTATTAAAAATAATGTCGTTAATCTAATACCGAATATGGTTACATTAGAAAGGTCTTTTCGAATGCTGGTTAGAAGCTATAAATTATCGGTTTGTTAGCTCAAGTCTATTCTGGGAATGGTTATGCCGTGTCAGTAATTTGACTGGAAACTTAAGAAGGCATTCATTGAGCGGGCGCCGCATAAATAATTCGCGGTAGGCAGGCTGCAGCTGAGGAGCTAAGCGCGTTATGTGCGGCAGGCAATGTTGCGGAACGAGCAGATTGATACTCGGTTCGTTTCAGCCCACGCCTATCGCCGACTCAATTAATGTGACGAACGCTTCCGTTACTTAATGTAATTGCGAATGGTAATAGATTCACTGTTGATTGCCATTTGCAACGAAATAAAACTAAATGGGATAATTTCTTTACAATGGTATTAGTTTAACATTCTTAATTATTTACTGTTTATCTCTAAAGTTTAAAGCTTCGGTTTTACCAAATCATGTTTTGGTACGCGTTGGTGATGAGTGGGTGATATTTTTACAGATATAGGTGTTTAGTAAATACTTAACATTTTGGTATACTATACGATATATTTGGCATAATCGGTTTACATATAAATTATGTAGGTACCTTATTAGGTACTGTATTATAACAAAACTGATCATTCACTACGTTTTGAAACTCCTTAGTTATAAAATATATTCAGAGATTCTACGTTAGTTCCATAAAGTACTGCTAAACTGACGAATTTCTAAAATGCAATCACCAATGTGTTTATAATGGCGTATCTACTTCTTTAAAACTTTATAAACTTTAAAGCTCACTCTGTTTTAATGCACTTATTTAATACAACAGCTATTTAAAATTGAGTATTGATAAAACATCCATCAGATTTGAAGTGCAGAAAGTGTACAAACAATGACTAATGCAATAACCAGACATGAACATTAAACAAAACTTGAATGTGTGCCGACCTTTATTCCCTTATCTGCCATAACAAAAGCATTCACTTAGTGCTGTGATCACAATGCATTACGGCGACTTTTGATTGACAACAGAAATCTGTATCATGTCATTTATCAAAATGTCGATCATTCTGATTTCCGCCCCGATAATCGCAACCGCTATTGTTTGTGAGAAACAGGTACATAGGCTTATTTTATTGGCATCTCCTGAGATATGCTATGAATCAAGACAATACAGTGATTATAAAGTGTTATTGTTCACTATTTGTCAACAGCCTTTTTGTTTGAAATCTAACGTAGATATATACGATTGTAGTGCTTACGCATTTATTGAATACCGTTGAGTATGCAGTCTCTATTGTAAAACTTTAGTCGCAATACTCAAGCTTTTAGAAAATTAAACATTCTAAGAATACATCGAATGGTATCAGTATTCTAGAAAACATTTCAAGAATGTCTGACTGTGTTGTTTCTATGAGAATTGCATAACTTTCTGACATAGCGAGACAAAGATATCAAACATAGGCGTGTTTGTATGTACAGCGAAGGGCACTATGCTGTAATGCGCCACACACGCGCTGTTTACGATAATATTCGTAATTTACTCTCATTTCTGTTGTCCCGATGCATTATAATTTACTGGTAAACGAGTGTCGTGTCTGTAATATTGCTAGTAGGCATATTGTTTATGTACCTACTAAAGATGTGAGTATTGAATATTAGGTACAATGTTTCACACTTAATATCAGTTAAATTGTAGTGTTCAACAAAACGATGTAGTCAAGTTTGATGGAATATTTTTTACTGTCGTAAAATTAGTCTCAATTATTTCGATCTAGAATAAAAAAAATATGGATCGTACGATACAAAAACAAGTAATAATGCGCACAAAAAATATTAAAACACTGTATGCAAGTTTTTATTGTAATCATTGTATATTTACACCACGCCTACATAGCTCGCTCCTACGCTTCAATCTATAATTTAATGTTCAACCACATCTTTTGTTCTGTTTTAAAGTGTTTGTAAAAATGTTTTAATGTTCATTTGACGTATCAATTTGAGTACTGCGATGTAATTTAAATATTATATGTCCAACCTGTGTGATATAATCTTTCCCTATATTTTTATCACTGACATTAAATTTAGAGGTTGAGAAGCGAAAATTGGTCTAAAGAGTTTCTTTTTGTTTAAGTATTTATATTCTAGATCTTCCCCGTCATTTTATTTACTGGCTTTGTTCCTAATTGTCGTAACGAGGTATTAGGTACATCAGATTTAGATTCCTCGTTCCTCAAAATTGGTCTATTAAAATAAAATTATCAAAGATTAAGACGTAACAAACCACGTTTTAGTTTTACCTACAACTATATTGGCATAGCACTGTCAATTAAAATAGTGAATGGACGGATAGGAATGTTACTACCTACTTATTTAGTAAAATGTCCAAGTAAACATAGAGATATGTTTACAAAGGAACGCTTTCACGAGTATATGCACTATGCATTGTGCACTCTTGCATAACATCGTCACTGTCAATATTTTCCTTCATGAGATAATTGAAAATGTACCATTGTACCAAATTATTTACAATTCATTTTAAATGTAGAGCGACTTCATTTAATTATATAGCCTGTATCAATTACAGAAGTATACTCTGGTCATTGTTTTGACCTGTCTAGTTGACAGAAGGAACTTCATGATAATTATATTAGAGCATGCCATAAATTAAGATATAACGATGTGTCGAAGGAATATCATTTCTTTTGGAGTATATTGAATCTAGGAGGGAAGAATTTTTAGGCCCTGTTTTTTTTTTCATGGTTGCGAAATAATTAGATTATTTTATGTTCCCTTATAAAAAGTGAACCATAAAACCACTTTAATCGATTCGGGACATCAAATCAGGACCTCACAGCTTGTTCATTAGTAGTTGCAGCCACATAAAATATATAAAGTTAAAATAGCCAATCCACAGAGCTTTCTCGGTTTGTTTAACCAGTGTTTCGGTAACGTCTTTGATGTAGATATAGTCTCGTTTACAAAATTAATCAGAGCTCCATAAATAACTTATTAGTCTGTGCTTGTGTGGTGTAATGGGCGTGATTGGTTATGCTATATTTTATTGCTGTTCTTCATTGACAGTGAAGTGGGTCGAGCGGAACGCGGCTAAATAAATTAAGGGGACAGCGTCGGAACTCACTACGGTTTTGTTACGAACAATTTGTTACCGATCAAGTTGACAGATTACAAGATGCTCTCCCAGACGATGTTTGACATTACTTGCGATCTGTTTACTCATTGATATTTGAAATATCCGTTAAAACTAGGTTTTGCTATAAATAATGAGGTCGGTGAGGTTGTGAATGTAAACAGTGTCCATAGCGTGCGGTGTAGGCGGCGGTGGCGACCTGCACGCCTACAGCACAGGAACACATGTTTACATCTGCCACCAGATCCCTTGTTTTAATTACACTCATATAAATTTAATGCTTTGCCTTTGACCCTAGGGAGATATACAAACAATAGACACAAAATCCGGATGTTTAGATTTGGTAAAACAAACATACATATTTTTCAATTTTCTACAATCATTAAAAATATTTAAATCTGAATAGGTAAAGTAACTTATATTTGAAAGCGGATGATTTTCTTTGTACCTACAGTTAAAAGAAGGGAGAACTGGTTTCGAAAGGTTGTCTTTATTTATGTAGCAGTTATACAAATATTTATACGTTTAATTAACCCGCCTTGACGTTTGTTTACATACATTTAAATATATTTATTTGGATTTCATATTTTAAAATGAACTCACCTTCCATTCCTTATGGGAGATGCTGGTGGTGGAGCTGCCGCGGTGGTGGTGGTGACTTCTTCGTGTGTTAGTTTCTTGAGTGTGCGTGGAGACAGCGGGGTGCGAGGTGATGGTGGCTCGGGGGTGACCGTGCGTTCATCATCGTCATCCTCTATGGGCCGGTAGTTGCGGTCACCACCGAGAGCTCGTCTCACTAGCTCGGGGCTGGCGAGGCGGTTGGGTGCGCGCAACATGCCTGGGCGCAAGCCGGGCGCTCCGTATGTGAAGGGCGCAGAGTCTGCGCGCGCGTGGTACGGTATGTCGGGTGGTCGGTCGGCGTGCGACTGCGGCTGCGGCGTGTGCGACGCCGGCGGTGGGTCGGGCAGAGCGCTCACCGTGCGCAGCATGTCGCCCAGCAGCGCATCGAGCTCGTCAGGCGGGCTGGGCGCGGCGCGCCGCCCCGCTGAAGAGATGCCCGAGTCCATGGATGCGCTGAGCGGTGAGGAAGGCCCACCACCGCCCGCACGGACCACAGTCGCGTAGATGGACCCGTCGAGGGGACCGAATGTGTGCGCTGCCTCGTTCCCGTCACCCGCTTCACCTCCCGAACCAGATCCTTCTGCGCTGCCGTTGTTTTCACCTGCACCAGATTAGGTACACGCTCAGATAACTAAATACTAAGTCGTTAGGAAGGCAGAAACATATTCTCACATAACTTGGTTGTGATTAGATCTACCGCGGGGCGATGTGTTTAGCGACGGTTTAATTACGAATAGCTTTTAAATTGGATTCGATTCGCTCCAATAAACCGGCGGGGCCTCTTCGCAACGAACGATGTAACTATTAACTCTACTAAGTATCTGGTCGAGCACGTGTACCTATAATTTTGTACTGCACTTTGTACGAGGACAGAATTAATTACCATCAGTAAATTGTGTGGTGAAGTGTGTAAATTATTATCGTATTTACAGGTATTATGTTGCCGCGAGTTAGTATCAAGAGTTTAATTAGCCCGAACCACCTGGTACAGTGGCGGGAGCAGTTAATGTCGCCCCGATACAGCCAGCATCACCTAAAAAGGACTAAGTTTGCTTCCCGTTATTCCAGCGGGATGAGACCGTTAAGTGTTGTTTGATGAAGTGCCGGTACAGCATCCTACGTATAGATATGTGCAGTACTAGATAAGTAGCGACTCTTATACGGAAATCATCTAAGAACTGTTGCTTGCAACCGAACGGTATCATTTGAAGTAATAGGGTAATGACGTAGCAGGTCATGGAGCTAAATATACACGTTAATACTGATGTCTTAGCCGCTTATAGTTATTATTTGCGGCCGATTCCTACATAGCGATAAACTGCCTAGTATTTACTTTACAAAAAATCAGATTTAAATAACAAAAAGAAATTAGTTCCTTGTGACCTACTTAATGATAACCTTTTAGTATCTGTGTTACTGCTAAAGTTTTCCTCATATTGTTGACTTCATTAAAATGAATAATATTCTAAGATGATCCTGATAGTTGACGGTTCAAGGCGAGATTGAGGCTGCCAAATGAGGAAACGACCTTAACGATGGATTTAAACGATTGATACCATATAAGTATTTGGTACAGAGTATAAAACGGGTGGGTAGTAGAGAGATACTGGCCAGTCGAGTCGTTGCTGGCACTACTATTATAATTTCAGCTACAAAGATTTCGCTATCAAATGAGATTAAGATTAACTAGATATTTGATCACCATTCATTAAATGGGTATAGTTAGAGGCGTGAAACTGTCAAAGCGTGTAATAGTGAATGCAAATAAGGAGGAATGACACTATCACTCGGCTAATTTACATAACGAGCGTGTCTAGTTCGCGTAGCTAACGTTCCGTATCACTTGTGTGATTTTTGTTCTGGTAGCGAAATGTTCGGCGCCGGCGCCGAGTTCTACGATGTTCGATTTCGAAACTGAACTAAATGTGTAGTTGTCAATAACGCAATTAGTGTAAAGATATCAACGTCAGCGTCTGGTGACCGTCGCCGTCGGTCGCTGTTAAGGAAGATGTGGTTATTTCTGTGTTGTCAACGAAAATAACGCGCCGGGCGTGGAGCGAGGGCTAGTGTTACGAAATGTGCAGCGCAGGAAGAGGATGTGCGCCCTAGCGTCGCCTGTGCCGGCCCACTTGCATCCCACGATATATCTCGCACACGTGGAGATAAAGAAATCTGTTATCATTAATTATAGACTTATCCCACACCATATTAATCTCAATCATAAGACGAAAACAAATCGTGATTTTATCTCAATCTGGGGTTGAATTTATTTATCTTACAATTTTTAAATCGTATTCTATTCAAAAGTCTAAATATGGTACGCAACCATATGTAATAGTAAAAAAATCAATTTTATTATTTAAATCATAATTGGTCTTCCATATAAGAAAGGCAGTTTACAATAGGGACATGTCTACAATAGAGATACATATACAAAGTATGCTCGATGGATAGATATTTATAACAGCTAAACATAATATTAAATTATGAAACTTCATATTCATGTCCAACAAAAGTTTAGTTCGTTAGCAATTGAAAATGAGCGTGACAACGATGTGTTGGTGATCTTAGGTTTGGGCGCGCGTGGGACAGGCCGGTGGGGTATCAGACATCATAGACATGTTTTGGTGGGGAACTAGTGTTTGTACAGTGGTCGTGTTTAACATTGTTGCGATAACAGTTACCTATGGAGGTGAGCGTGTGTTGGTGAGCGCGCAGCCGCAGTGATGTCATCGGGCACCACCTTATGGTTCTGCGAATCTCTTCCCTCTACCGCATTATTATTCCACTCAACACTGACCGTTGACTATCTACGTTCGTTATCCGACGTTAGCTCCGAATTCTAACCAGTTTTGGTCTTTACCTTTTTTCTAAGTAAGGAATGTGGTTCACTTTTAGCAACATTTGCATACAAATTTGCTTATTTTCATCTTAAAATGAATGGCTTTGCAAATGAGTATCTTTTTGAGTGTTAGCGTTTGCTTGTAATGGTTTGTAGTATTCGAATCAACACGTACCTAAGTAATAGATATTCATATATTTGCTAGTAACACTTCACATTAACGATTTTAAAATATGAAAGAAAGTATTGTATTTTTTTACGTAAAGCACTGAATACAAACACGTCTGTCACACGTACGCGGGCTGTATTGACTGTTCATCAAAACTGAAAGCTCTGGCGATAAAATAATACTGATAGTGTCGTGGCAGGACATGTGTGCGTAATGTCAGGGTAAGCAAGCACGGATAAACTCTTATACAATCGATACTCGCCACTATACACTAAGCGTGCGTTCAATCTGTACTGTACACAATGATCGGCTGCAGAATGAATCGACTAATGGACGGACAATATAAACAAACAAATGTTAAATGATTCATATATCCTCTGAACCTTGGAAACTCTAACAAATCTTGTTAAAAATACACAAGTGTTTTAAACACATTGCTTTGCAATTCACTTATACAGTGATGCTCCACATACTGCAGACACAAAATGCGTTCGATAGAAACTCTCATAATTTCGCAGTGTTCGGGATGACGTCAGTAAACACAGCCTTGCGTGTGAATACAGAAATGATTGGGTATGGACCGGCGCTGCTAACATAATAATATAAATTAAGTAGATATGTATGAATCTTTGACCTTACTACTCGTATGTACTTCAACACTTGTAATCTCATAATGCTATTTTTTTGCTAAAATTATACTTATTGTATGAGTATACTTCACCGTTGTAAGGAGATTATTTTTTGTGTCTTTTGATTTGTCCGATTGATTTGTACTCCGGCGCTATTGAGAAACGAAATCAAGATAAGACAAACACGATTCTTGAGTACTTCAACATACTCAGATCACGATTATTTATTGCTCATCGACCCGTATGTGAGATCCCGATTCTCGTAACGAATTAAATTGATGTGTGTCGAATGCTGGCCCTAGGGGCATGCTGTCGTTCCCGAGTGCAGTGGACATACATCAGCGATTCTCCACGCTGGTCAATTAGCGGGCAGGCGCCGACGAACCGACTCCAATCTCATTGTTTGTTAGCACTAACACCGCCTATTGTTATCTTTGCTCGAAACCTGCTATTGTTATAGATGAAAAGCCGCCTCTAAAGCCACTTTCAATTTATTCCGACACTCTTCGTAAAGATTTTGACACACACAATCAATCTTAGCTTCCATATATGTAACGGAACTGATTGAATAGAATTACGTTCACTAATTTCGAAGTCATAAAACGGCTTCGCTAGCAACGAAATTAATGTCACACTCACCTCGATTGTAATTTTGTTAGACTGTCTCGAAATACACGAAAGAAATTGTCATCTAATTCTGTTTATTACTTTTGTAGCACATCATTATTTCTGTTTTTTATTTGCACGATTTTAGTGCAGATTTAAAGTTTGGCTTCCGTTTGTAATTTTTTTCAGTGATGTTAAAGTTTGGTTCACAGTGACGGCTAGGGATGTGCGCGTGCGTGGCTGCTCGCAAGGCGGGCGCGGACCGACTGGGCGGGCGGGCGGTCGCGGCGGCCGGCGGACACACATCACTAAAATAGCTCTACACCTGCACCGCAGCCGCGACCTCTCGCTAACCGGTGTAGTTAGGTCGCTTTGTCAACACACATGACACATTTCACGTCCAGTTAGACTTTCAGTTTCTAGTAATCACTCTGTTTGGGAAACATTAACCCAGTTTTTTAATTGGTAATTTGAGTTTAACTGAGGCCAATGCAAGACGAAATTCACGTTAATTCAATAGGATTTATTGGTTTACTATTAGCGTCACAAAAGTTGCGGTTAGTTCAAAAGAATAGAAATATTGATAGACTAAATCTGAGTGAATGGATATCGGTGAATGTATACAGGATGTGTGGAATGGCCTCCATTTCGCTCAGTTCCTGCGTTGAGCGCTATTACGCAAGTTAGTTGGAGTAAGTCAGTGACATTGTTGCCAGTAACGGCAGACGGATGTTGTGCTTCACTTGGCATTGGCTACATGCGGGAACCCCTCATACCAATCTTTAGACAAGCTTTTAATGATCACAAGAATAGATTATAACTTGCGGATGTTGAACTAATAAAACTTGGTTAGGCGAATCTTGTGTATTCCCTTGTTTTACCTATGCTATAAAGATTATCTAAAACTAAAAGATTGCCTATTTCTAAAACTGTTCGCATTTAACATTAAGTACGCTCTTCAGGTACGCTGAATTTCCTAGTACCTAATTTGGATCTAAAATTTAAACACAACCAATAAACTTAGACTCGTTAAGTTTGACCGACAAACTGGTTGAGTCAGTCAGTCAAGGTTGAGAGCCTTTTACTGGATTAGCACTCAGTTATTAATTTATGGTTCCCATCAGCGAAATTGCTCGGCAACCACGCCTCTTTGTTCGTTCACATTGTACCTACTTATACTTAGGAAGGGTATTAAATTAAGGTTATGGTGCATTGTTCTACTGCAACAATCACTTTAAGATTTTGTATAGTCATTTCCTTTTTCACTTAGTAAGTAACTTACTGATTTATATTCGTGGTTTAAATTAACATTTATACGTTTTCGGTAATTTCGTAGCACACAACTCACAGTAAACTAAAACTAAATTTAAGGCAATTAACTATTAATATTTTACAGTATTTATACATGTTATGGTAAAAGCTCAATAAAACTAAAATCATATGTAAATTGCAAAATATTTTGGCGACGTGCTACGTGCTACGAGCGACTACGAGGGTCTACGATAGCCTACGCCAGTTGTCTACGGTCTAGTTATAGATATAGACATAAAAAAACAATCAGCCGAACATAGTACGTCCTCCTTTATTTAAAGTCGATAAATGTAGACTTAAGTTACTATATAATTTCTTATATGTTTTTTGGATTTTTAGCATGACGTGTTTCAGTCCAAGCTGTACAAGTAAGTTTACAAAGTGAAATGCTAAGGTGATCTACAGAGGCCATCTGGGAAGGGCCAGACGTTATTTGGTCATCTATACAGATAAATAAAACTAAAGTATTTGTTTGTAATAGTAAGATAACCGCATTTTACTACACACACAGCAAAATAACATTTTTTTTTAATTTTTATCTCTCTGTCTGTCTATGTGTGCTGGATATTCTCTAAAAGAATGGACCGATATGGACGGGACTTTTATTGGCAGGTAGGTAATATACTAAGGAGTAACATGTGCTATATATTTTGGAAAATTGAATCATAAAAATGTTATGTCCTAAAGTTCATATTCTACGCGGACGAAGTCGCGGGCACTTAGTTTACCATATAATTATGTATGTGATTACTTAGAGATACGCGTTTCAATAACATCTATACCTATTACACATATACATAGGCACTCCATATTGTACTCATATGTTAGCCATTCATAAGGTTGAACATACTTATTATTACTTATAGTAGAATAACTTCATCAATCACCACTTCTCTTACCTGGATCATCATCAGTGAGTGTGGACAGCGGTCGCAGATGTTCGAGTGAGTCTGCGCGAGCGAGCGCGTCCGGCGCCGCGCGCAGTGGAGCCGCGGGCGTCGGCGCCGGTGCCGCCCCGCCCCCGCCCTCGCCGCGCAAGAACACCAGCTCAACCGCACCATCACTCGGGAACGAGGGATCTGATTCAACAAACATAAACAAACATAACATCACGCCTTTTATCCCCGAAGAGGTAGGCAGAGGTGCACATTATGCCACTGTACAATGTAACACCCACTTTTCACAATTTATGTTATAAGCCCCATGTAATAGGGGGTGAGCCTATTGCCATATACCGGGCACAATTCCAGCCTCCGTACTACTACTGGAAATTTTTAAAAACCCCAGTAATACTTTGCTCGACCCGGGAATCGAACCCGAGACCTCTTGCCCGGCAGTCGCACTTGCGACCACTCGGCCAACGAGGCAGCTGATTCAACAAATATAAATAAAAACTAGATAGACAGTCATAATAACATTACATCACTTAATCGTGTTTGGTATTCCCCAAAACAATAATGGGTAATTCCCCTCTTTACTCTTTGACCGCTAGTAGTTATAAGTTTCGAAGTCGCTTTAGGTAGTAACTAGATCCCGGAGTACGGGCCACTAAACAGGTTTGCAAGGCCCCGGCTCGAAGTAGGAGCAGGAATGGTATGGTTTATAATCAGTAAAATTCTGACAATCCCTCTCACCTCATCCAAGGCGAGAGAAGTCATTAAATGATTCTCCCCTTATCAAAAAACTGTTACTGTTTGTGTTACTAACACGTTGTTACAGTGACACAAATATTTAAATGACATTTATTTCAGCGATGAAACACATAGCATTAGATAAGCGTTTTGCACTCTAGTCATTTCATTTTATTATTCTGACCTCACATTTAATGGCTAGAACAATTTTACTGATAACGCGATCATGTCGGCGTAATTGTATTCAATTGTAGAGTACACTTATTGAAATGAATCACTTGTTCTAGAATATCATTTCCTCACTTACGTTCTTACATCTAGATATAGTCTGTGTCTCATATAACCCGACATACATATAACTGAGCAAAAGGGCTTTATTCTCGGTCGAGTAAAGTGTTAAGTTTATTTGAATATCCGAAATTGTTCAGTAATTAATTATTACGTTTTTTGGCTTACTCGTGTAATTATTTGACGAGGAACTCGACTAGTTACACGCCATACTAGAGACCCATATTCATGAGCAGCATTATGCGATATGTGACCGTGGCGCTGCTCCTGCGATTGCTCAGTAACATAGCATAGAGGTCGGAATTGTGCTTAGTGCATAACAATAAGCTCGTCCCCTTTTTATATGGGACTACAAAGATGACTGGTAGAAAATGAGTGTTTAATTGAAAAATTTATACCTTTGTCTACCGCTTCGGAGATCAAAAGATGTCATGGTATTTTATAACAGAGTAGCCTATCATTCCATTTTGTATGATTTAAGCCAGATTAACATGCGGCAAACATTTTAGTGTTTTAGACGTAAGAATAAAGTTGCACAAATCATGATATTTTATAATGACTGGTAAGTATGCTGTACAGAATAAGGTTTTGCACGTTGCACTGCGGAAATATGTTCAAGTATCACAAGACAAGACAAAGTGATCAGACATCAAACAAATGTAACGTGTAAAGTAAGCCATTGACGACACTTTCAGATTTAGAAGGTTTAGATCCAGATCAGGTGAAAACCTAAGATATTTTGGATAAAATTGACAGGAAGCCAACTTCTAGAAACTTTTAGATTTTTTAAATTTTCGTTCGGTTTATAAGAATTAATAGATCGGTTCTACTAGTTTCTAATTCGCGGCAATGTCGCGCACCGCGCACGCTTATCATGAGGAAGAACCCCTCTGTGGTTCAAAACTAGTAGAGCTTTTCTCATTATATTTACGTGAGTAACCCACGACTTTCAGTTAATTTAGTATGTCTCACGATAGTTATTATAAAAATTAAGAGATCGGTCTATCAATGGCTAGTTTAAAATAGTCTCATCAAATTCACGTTACACAGATGCGGAAGCGAGAAAGTGATGGTTACCGTGCACGGCATGATCGAGCTGCTGCTTGGTGAAGGAGAGCGTGTGGTCTGCGACTGCGCACGTGTGGAACTGACACGCGAACACCAGGTGGCGCTGCGAGCTGCGCGCCGACGCGTGCGCAGACCGTCTGTACGCGCGCACCACCACGTCACCGCGCAGTGCCAGCCTTCCTACTCCAACTGTCCAACCTCCGCCGTTCACCATGTAGAGACCTGGATGAGATAAATAACATAAAATTAATATTAAATTACATTGGAGTCATGATAAAGCTAGAGCTGTTAATCCCAGATTTTGACATTTCTTTTCGATTTTTTTCGAATATTCTGACTAGCTACAAAAAGCTATTTGGATTTCGATCCTTAAAGATCAATTGTAGATAGCAAAATGAGACTAATCAGAATACCCGGCGCCCCAAAATGTGCTTTAGCCAAACTGTTTGTATATTTGTTTTCACTTTCTTTCATTTAACCCATTTTTCTTAACTTGATTTTTTCTTGACTTTACTCAACCCTTCAGATACCCTTCATAAACACTTCAGATATTTCCCGCTTGTGTTACAGATACCGATGCCCTTAATAGACCACCAACTGCTGTTAATGTGTACTTAATAGGCCAAGACATAAACAACCGGTTTCCCGCTGTCAGCGTGCTTTGTGGGTTCTGTCAATATTGGACGCTCAGCGATCAGTATTTGATTATAATCGTGTCAATCAATATTTGCAATAGCTGTAGTATAGAGTAAATATAATCCATCTTCGTATAGTTCGATTGGATTAGTTAAATAATCATAATAGAAGAGAATCAAGAGATTGGGCTATTTTGTGTATTATCTATCAGCTTGACAATATTTTTTGTCGTGCCGTATTTTAGGTACGTTAGCATTGTAATTGAACGCCAATGTAGACTTATTAAAGTGTTTACATACTTCGCCACCCATACCTTTTTTGGACTACCATAACTCATCTAGTTTTAATTACTATCAAAGGAGAATAAAATAAATTGGTACAGGAGCGCCTACAATACGAAATAAATGTGCAACCATTTTTTTCAAAAACTTATAGAGCCCGTAAAAACTGGGAACGGCCTATGTTCAACAGTGAATATTTTGTGGTTCAAAAAATGATATGCTATGATAATGTATGAAGCTAATAAAAGCTACATTTTCTACGACTTAAATAACTATCACAATATAAAATTGCAACTTACCTGACGTGTAAACACAGACGAAGTTCTCGTATATCTTGAGGAAGGCGATGGTGGGTGTGGCAGGCGAGGCGAGTGATCCTGCCACACTGACGTGGGTGAGATGTAACGGAGCTGCGTTCACTCGGATCTGACCCGCTAGTAGACCAGCGAATGTATCGATGTAGCTGATCATAAACAAAAAGTTAAAATTAAATTAGTAGCTCCAAATATAAGAAACTAGCTTCTGCCGGCGACTTCGTACGCGTAATCCCATTTATTCCCGTCCCCGTTCGTGATTTTCGGAAAAAAGTAAAAAAAAGTATTGGTTAAAAAGTATCCTATGTCCTGGCTCTAAGCTGCCTCCCTACCAATTTTCAGCCAAATCTATTCTGCCGTTCTTGAGTTATAAGTGGTGTAACTAACACGACTTTCTTTTACTTTCTTTCTTTTTATTTAAGAGTTTAGTTGTAGTTTATTTTAAGTAGTAAATATTTATTTTATATATATAATAAGATGTTAATTATTATGTTTTCGACTTACTCACGTAACTGTTTGACGAGGAACTCGACTAGTTTCGGCTCGGCTGTGCGGCGAGCCGAACAGCCTCTACCATGGCTTGAAACTAGTCGAGTTCCTCGTCCAAAAGTTGCGTGGGTAAACCGAAAAGCTAATAATTAATTTAGTATGTCTCACAAAAGTTATAATATAAATAAGATGTTGTTTTGATTTCCACCAGCTCCTATTGTTGCGATTTTGATTTCTTTAACCTTATGGTTTCTCTCATTTATGATGGTAACGTTCTCATCAGCAAAAAATACCAATGTCCTTGCCAAAATGGTTGGATAAACGGTTAAAATTTTCAGTGGCTAATCCAACAAATCCAATAAACCTACAACCTACAACAAATTGGATTTGTAATCACTAAGCTCTCAATAAGGTCATGCCTATAAGTGTTATTTTCCGTTTTACTCATTATCAAGAGCTTCATCTATTTATGTAGGTAACAGTTACATATTCAGTCCAGTCTATATTTTACATAGAATGAAGTTAATAATAGAATTCTCACCGTTTATTGCTGGGTAGTTGGAAGACTGGCACTCTATCATCCAAGTACCGCCTCATGGCGTATCTGTCGAGCGCATGCTCCGGCGCACCACATATCGCCGAGTAGTGCATGTAAGCCGCCACTAACACGCCGAGACGCTCTCTGTTGCCCCTGGAAATAATATTGTAGTGTTTATTTTATTGGTAGATATTTAAAATACTAAAAGATTATCATAAAACTAAATCTTATATAGGTACTATTATATAAAGTTGACGAACTGTCTGATTTAAAAAAAATATTTTTGTGTTGGATAGTCCATATATCGAGGAAGACTATAGAACACGACGCTACAACCAATAGGCGCCGAGCAAAGCGGGTGAAATCGCGCGGAAGTAATTAGTACATGATACAAATAATATGTCTTCTATACTCGTCTATTTTATTCTTATCAAACTTCTGAGGAAATAATACGGAAAGGTTCATTAAATGTGCAAAACAATTAACCAGGGTTGGTCCGTAAAAGTGTATTAGTGCACAATTTACCTAGAATAAGGTAGGTAGGTACCTTATTCTAGGTAATACTCATATTTAAATGATGTGTGCTAGAGATTCATATACAGGAATCGTGCCTACAATACTGCTACTCTTACAACCGATTCTAACCATACAACTGAACAGTTTCTATTTCATTCCCTTATCTATTTTACAGTTTAACTTATCTAGTATTTGTTATCGATATCAATAGAAATAGTTGTACTTAAATTTAAATCAGCCCGGAAAAGGCCGGCGGAAAAATAATAAGTTATCTATTTTCCTTATTGATTTTCCAATAAATAACTTACGTGTTCAAGGTTTACGTCTAATTTAAATTTATAAGTTGCCTACTCAGAATACAAATAAAAAAAATATTTTGAATTTTCTTAAACGAAAATGTGTCTTATTGCTACGAAGATACGAAGAACAGTACCATAAAGTATGATCATCTTCCAGTCGTGGATCTTACTTCGGTTTATTCTTTAGTGCTTAATAGGGTACATTTTTTTTAAACGTTGCCTCCTCCTGCATTTTTACCGTGTCGTGGGTGCTTTTACAAATATACGATTTCAGATTTCGCCCATTCATTACAATATGTGGTTCACACAAGGAGTTGTCATAACAATTTAAAATAGATATTTACCATGCTAATAATATAGCAACGTTCTTGGGGTGAGCAGCGAGCCAGCTTTCAATGTGTTTGCAAGCTGCACAGAGTCGTTCTAGTGGCGGTGCGAGGTCGCCTGCCCAGCCGAGGGAGCGGGCGCGGCCGAACACATTGCGAGCTGCACCGACACCACCGGCGCCATCACCGCCGCTCACCTCGAACACCTGGAAAAGGGTATGGAGATTCGTCAGTAATTGTTATGTTTAAAAAGTATCGCAAAAAGGATTTTTGCTTGTTCCTTATGTTCTAAAATTTTCGTAGTAGCCTATAATTTATGAAAACATGCATTACAAAGTATTAAGCGTGTTATATTTGTTTAGGAAGTTTACAAGATATATTTGGAAATATCGGTAAATTATGGTAAACATCTTATCCATTTATTATAGTGATTTTCTAAAACTTTAAAGTGGCAGTAGTCAATATGTCGATAACAAAATATTTAGAGACATCGTAATTACCGTTACGATGTCTCCAAACCTACATTCGAACATCGATTTAGCAATACTTACGTCTACGAATTCAATTAAAAGACACTCCAAAGTTATTTTAGCTCAAAGCTGTCTAATAATTTATATTTTTTCAGAACATTAGTAGCAATTAAACGTTCATCTCATATAATTACTTTTCAAATAAAATATGTCTTCAAAGTCGCCGCGCTCAGACGGCGACGAGCAACCACGTGGGCAGCACTTCCTCTAATTAAAATATTCAACATGTCAAATAATAACTTTTACAACTAATTCTACACTAATGATACGCGTGAAAGAAAAAATAACAATTTCGTGCCTATGTAATAAAAATAAATTATTTTCTGAGGACCCTCAAGTTTTATTGGTGCGAATAGCTATAAGCCACAAATAATATCACTACAGAAAAGATAAATAAAGAAAATCCTGAAAGAAATCGTAGATTCAAGAGATATAAATTAATATTTGACCAACTAGTTCCATATTAAAAATCCCCTATTTTCCCTTACCTCTGTTGGAGTTTCCTGCGTACTGAATAATCACAAATATTCTAATGATAATATTATGAACTCACCATGAAATGTTCTCCATGTTTATTGGTGAGCATATGCGCGGCCTGTGCTTCCGCATGCGCGTCTCTTTCAGGCAGATGCAACGCCAACATACGTTCCGCCACATAGCAGAGGTCTAGCCGACTGCCTGGTCCTCCTGGGTAACTTGCTGATCGGGAACCACCCTGTGGAAGATAGAAAAGCTAATATTAGATCGTGATTTGTTTTAAAACATAAAACGATAATATTGATTTTAGGAAAACACTGGCATAGGTTTTTATTGTAAAAGGCTTTTCGTCTGTGTTTCCATTTACTTTATATAGCTTTAAGCAAAACTATACATTTCTAGACTAATATGTTTGAAAATAAATTTTATTTATTTATTTATTTTGTGTACTAAGAAATTCGAATCACGCAACGTATTACGTGCAAAGATCTTGTTTCTCTAATTTCCCGCGTTTTTTCAAAGTAAGCATTTAGAACGTCATTATAAATTGAAATTAGATAGTTCTTTTTTTAAACCTTTTAGCTGTCAATCGTAAAAAAGTTTGTAATACCTATTATCAAGGTCAGAAATCATAACCACACACGAAAACCTTCTTTTTCTAATTTCCCGCCATTTTCGCAGAAAAAATTTAGAACGTGATTTTAAATTAAAATTAGTTTGTTTTTTAGCCTTTTAAGCTGTCAATCATAAAAAGTGTATATTTCACGACAAAAGTAAGAATTAAACATTATTAAAATTTAATCAAAATAATTATAATATTTGCGTAAACATGTGTCATTCATACAAAAGCATGCAAGATGTTATTGTTTTCAAATCAATGTCCAATATATGTTTTGCTCCTAAGGACGTTCAAAATGTAGGTAGAGTAGTAACAATATTTAGTTAAACAATGTAATGTTAGAGTTTATTAATATTTTGTTTAGTAACTTTGTGTGATCCACAAATTGTTGTTTCGGGTCTGGGTGTCATGTGTATGTGAAATTGTATGTTTGTAAACGCACCCACGACACAGGAGATCATCCTAGTGTGGAGCAACGTTTTAAAATAAAATTAAAAGAATATTAACAGGATTTCTACAGAAATATTAACAGGATTCCATTCATACAAGATGATATGGATAATACAATGCAACACCCGTGGAAATGAACACAAATTGATTCCATCCTACCTTAAGTCACCTTTAGTTCCAGTTTCAAGGGATGTGAGCAAGGACGTCAATTATAGGTAAATACGTCAGGTGACGGTGATCAGAAAGAATGCACATTTCTGTGCATCAAGCAGAAAATACAAAAGAAAAAATTAATTTGGCAGTTAAGAAAAGAAATATGAACTCAAAGAAATCATAGAAGGCTACGATTATCGACGATCAATATCAGAAATAAGTACAGAAATACAATGTTCTTATTTAATAAAAAACTATGCAAACATTTTCGTCCAGCCTTGTGGAGGAAGTACCTATCTCAAGTTACTGTTTCTTCAATGGTCCAAATATGACATCGTATCTTAACCGTTTGTATCGGTTATCAGTCCCTAAAATCTCAAGGTCACCGAGCAGGAAATAAACTACTTCTATCGGAACCGTTCACACCGAGTTATTTTTGGAGCCCCTCTTATAGTTCCAGTTTAACACATGTTCCTGTCGACTGTGCAACTGTGAAGGACTCGTAAACATTTGTCGGGTCTTCGAAAGAGACCGTTAATCCCGTCATAATTCCCGCTTTGGGATTTAAAACTGGTTGTATAGAAAAAAAATCACTGTTTGTTTACTTTGTTTTTCTTTAGTGGCAAGTAAGACTACTGGATGAAGTTCACGATTATTGAATGGCGTATTTTTTTATTCAACTTAAAATCAGTAGCAAAAAGAGTTTCAAAATTTTTTAATTAACAGCATTCGATATTTGGATCTTAGTCTTTGGATACGATTATCTAGTATTATTTAGATCACTTTACAAAATTAATAATACAGCTACTTCTCGTGAATCGATAAACCTCTGTCTATGTATTCGGGAATTTATTTTGTTATGGTAAAGTAGAGTAGAAAGGTGACGTTGTAGAGAAAAGCCCTGATTTGTCTTGCTTTAAGTGTTTATGTCAGCTAACATAAGGTCGTAGGCGCGCCATAATTCTGTGAAAGTGTCTCAACCGCTGCGTAGGCGCAGGCTGCGCGGGCGACGTGAAGCTGCGTACTATGCGAGCTTCACTTCAATACATTTAATCCGATTAGACTAGTCGATGCGTAAGCCCTGCTTCTATGTGATGTAAATTAAGGCTATTTGAGCTTAAGACATTTATTTGTATCGATGGCCCATTAAAATGCTTATTATGGTTGATTAAAGATAATTGCGAAAATTATACAGAATTGTGTTCAGTTTCCTTTACCCATTAAATGCTTTAGGTACGTTCGGATAAACGTTTGCTAATTTCGTGGAAGATAGTTTTGTGTTTAGTTGGGTCTCTTAAGTACCTTTGAATAATGGATAGTATTTATCTGTATGTAGTAGTACCTATACGTTCCTATGAATTTGGACTTTATCGGGGCGTCATTATTTTAAATACCATACATACATCTTACTTAATATTATAAATGTGATACGTCGTGAGTTTGTGTATATGTTTATTTCTTAATCATATCAAAACGGTGAAGGGAAAGGATTTAAATTTGGAACAACGATTGATTATTGTAGGCAACTCTTATGGTTAAAAACCTCTTTTGTAGCGCGATAATAAAAATGGTGGTAACGTAGTGAATTCGCGTTCGCGCTAAAATTCAAAATTCGAAGCCAATAGTCGCCGCCGAAACGTTGAGTGAGTGAGCGTGTTCGAAGACGCCCCGCGTTCCCGCCAATTTTCTCGGTTTTTGAATTCGTTGTGGAAACATCCAGCCCTAATCTGTTACAATTATGGTCTGGGATAACATAATATATAAACTACTTTTTATCCGACGACAACACGGGCAAAACCGCGGGCAGAAGCTAGTATTTTATATACATATTGTCTGTATGGGGGTTCTTTTGAAAGTATATTAGATTTTTATGTTTTGTACTCTTAAACATGAAAAATCGCTCTATAATGTACTGATACTCAGAAGTTTTCGCATTAAAACTAATGAATGAGGTTGAACTAGTTCAGTATAAAGATGTTTCATCCTGTGGGATCAAAATTTCTGAGTAACGATGGACATAAAAGAAAAACTTATGATCTATAAAGAAAAAATCTAATCCATATTTTATGGCAGCCATTGAGAAAACATATCGAACGTTCAAATGCCTTGGTATCGTGCCAAAAAAATACATGATATGAATATTATGATTGCATTAGGCAAAATATGCGTGTTTTCGTTTGTAGTTACGAAGAAAACTAAGGTAGAAAATGGATCACGTCCTATATTTGATTCTCGTTTTGACACAATCCTTCGTCCGAGTAAATAGAGTTAAACAACACCTTTATAGAAAATTTGTAAACTCCATTTTACTACTGATAATTTCGCGATTGAAGAACCTAGGATTTAAGCTAGAGTGGGCTCATAAAGTGGATATTCGGATTATCCTTGTATGAACTACCTGATCTCTCGAGAATGTAGTGGAGGCTGGTGTAGCGGGCGCACTCACTGCTCGACTCTGTAACAAAAGAAAACCTAACATTAGACACGCATTTATTTTTTTCAAATACATCATCAAACTCACTCTTTATGTTAACATACTGTAATTTTTGTAAATGAAAATATGTTCGTCTCCTACAGCCAGAGAAATGTTCAATCAAAGTAGTATCCAATTCAAACAAATAACTTAGGGCCGATTTTTTAATGCTCAGTTAAATTTTATCAAAGGAATAAGTTTGAATATTTGACAATTCTTCCATACTAATAACTGTCAAATTATTCTACAGTTAAGAATTAACTGATGATGAAAAATCGGCACTAAATCTACTATTGTAGATACAACAAAAAATAAAGACTATTAGCCTATCTATAGATAAATAATACATCATTAAACACATCCGCATTATATCAATGCCAGACTGTGATTACAGTGCTATTGCAAAATAAAACTTTGAAAGCTCGAAGCCGAGGTCGAGCTGTCATTAAAATGAAATCAAAAGTAGTAATTTAATCCTTGTCAGTTTTTCTCAATGTCGGGTCGGTCGAGTTGATGGGATTTTATTTCACAGAAATAGTTGTAATGGCGTTGTGTATTTAGATATTACTGATATGGTGTGAAGGAATGCGTTTTAAACTATCAAATGTCGTTGACTAAATCGAGATTGTAAGTGGTAAGTAATTTGATTTCACACGGCCAGACACAGCGTTTGTGGTTGCGTTCTCATGACACTTCAATTGTCAATTTGATGAACGTTCCTTTGTTAGTTGAAATCCTGTTTTGATTTGCGTGAACGATGAACTTCGTCATATTTTATTTATATAAATAAAATCTCTAGTTTGTGAAACTTCCTAATGTTGATTTCAAGTACGAATCTTCACCAATCTAACAATAGGCAATGTGTGCAAACTGAATTAATTAGAATAACGAGTTGTAGCCACATATGAAAAGTTTAAAACTGTAGCAATACTCTAGAACATACATCTTTATAAAAAAACACATTTGTTTTGTATTCCTACAACATAACATAGATAATCATAGTAGCTCATCTGTCAATCAGCGATTTAGTTGCAGATGCAACACACCTGATAAGAAGCTACCAAAATTCAAGCAAAACAAGACCTTATTCCAAAGAAAATCTAATGATATTCATCTCGGAAACATGAAGTGAGCGTGTACAATGATAATGAGTTAAAGTTGAAGTACAACTTGGTAAATGTTTAAGAGTTATATATACCGTGAGAGTTGGAACATATTATGCCGACGGACGGTCAAAGTTTAGCAGCCGTCAGTTCCCCATAAGTCAAGAGTATGGCGATCGGACGGACTGACGGACGGATCGCTTCAATAAAACTGACAAATGAGCCCCACTGGGCGCGGCTTAAGTGATTACTGCAGCTTTTATCGTATTAACTATACACATTATACCCGGTTGATTAATTGATATTAATATCTTTATGTATTTTATCGTGTTTTACGTAACAAAATTACTAGAGCAAATACTTAAATT